TTACTTTAAGTATATTTTATACTAAAATAGGCGCCAAGAAGAGTTTCTTATTTTAAGAGGAAAATCCTCTAAATAGTAATATTGATAAGAATATATACTGATTAGAATATAAAAAGCCTCTATAGAAAAACATATATATATCTCACTGTCGAAAAAGACTATATTCTTAAATAAAGAATATATTTTTAATTTCAGAAGAATATCATCTAAAATCTTTAAGAAGATTTTTTAAGTATAAAATCTTCTACTTACAAGAATATAATTTTTTCGATGTATACACACACGTGTATATATACGCTCTGTTTCATTAACATTTTTGTCTTCAATAAAATTACATCAATTTTTACATCAGTTAGCGAGCAACTATCATAGAGAAGTGTAAAGCCCCTTGCACAATGGACGGAATAGCGATAGCGATAGAAATAACAAAAGTTTTAAAGAGTTTATATTTAAAAATAAAGGTAGGAACAGCGGAATCTAACATACAAAACTACACATGTATCAATGCAGATCAGAAAAAAAAGGAATAAGCAATAGCGATAAAATTTCCGACGAGTTGGAATTCTGTGTTAAAAACTGTGTTATTTCTATCGCTATCGCTATTTCTTCCATTGTGCAAGGGGCTTTAAGCACGTATGATTTTTACCGACTGAGAAATATGGTGAAAATCAACGAAAATCTTCCAGCTGTTCCGAGATGTGGTTCAGCACGTGGACAGTATGCACGTGATAATATATGTATGTATGTTGTATTGAAAAATAGCTCGGAGCAAACTGTGCGTGTTGATTTTTGTAGAAAAATGGATTTAAAACCAAGTGATGGATATTTCGACTTGTGTATAAACGTAACAAGTGAAAATATTGATTGTTTAGATGATATTCTGTCGAGGTTATATCAAAGTAAGTTGGGGCTAGTTAAAAAAATCACTCACTTGTCTTTCCAATTGTTGTATTTTAAATTGTACTTGTTATCAGTGGGTTATAGGACAGTGGCATTAAATCAAACTGTACATGAAGACAGTTTTCTCGGTAAATGTAAGAAGAAAAAGATGCAAGGTGATGAGATGATAAAACCTATATGGAATGTGGTCCCAAATCCAATTGACGTGAGCAAATTACATGAAAAATTCAACGGAACACTGTGTATACTTAATAGGATAACTTTTATATGTTCAGACACTAAAAGAACCCATACAATGGTATGATATATAATTTTAAAACAATTTTTAGAATGTTAGTTTTCCATGTCAAGACATGTATCACACATATATATTTAATTATTATTGAAAACAAGATTCTGTAATAGTATGAGTCTGAAATATAATTATAAATTTCAATTACACATCAATTATATGGTGTATTTATATATTATTTAAGTAGTTTTATTGTTACAGTCACAGTGTCCAAACTTGAGGAAATATCATTTATATGTTATTGTACCAACTAAACAAGATATGTTAGAAGTTAGTATACATAATTATATAATACGTTTCTTGATAAAAATGCAATATAATTTTTGACATTTTTATTTGTTTAATTATGTTATTTATTTATTCTTTATAGTATGCGTGTTCTCAATTAAATGCAGATATTATTTCAATAAGACCCCAAATCTCTAGCATAAAACTGAATCGAAAGTTATATCACTTTGCAACAAGAAGAGGTTTATGTTTTGAAATACAGTACGCAGACATTTTGAATCCAGGAACATGTGTAGAATCTATTCATTACTCTCATCTATTGCATATGTATCGCAAGAGCGAGGTGAGCATGTACATATCATATGTATGCTACTGTGAGTATATGCGCACGTGTTTGATTTTTATTGTACAATAGTACTGAAATGTTTGTACGTTATAGAATGTGATAATATCTAGTGGTGCTACCAAGAGCCATTTAATCAGGAGTCCCTACGACATCATAAATCTGTATCCTTTACTATAACGTAATAACAGGAAAAATAGTTACATGAGACAGTTGATTAAAATGTACATATTGTGTTGTGATACCTCTTTATTCACTGTGGACACAATCTCTATATTTTCCATAACTAAATTGAATTAATACAATGTGCACTAGTGGATTTATACTAGGTTTGAGTGAAAGTAAATCAAAAGCCGCTATATTAGATCAATGTCAGCTTCTTCTTCTAAGAGCAAGTGAGTCGTAATTAAATTTTATACAATCATAAAATAAGAAAAAAACAAATGAAATTTTGATTTTATTTTAGGAAGGCGAGTGCTTAACAAGGCGGTATTTGTTGTGGAATTTACAAAAGATAAAACAATGGAGGAAGACGATTCAGATTAGTAGCGAAAAATAAATTTATGAATTTATAATATGATAAAATATACATTGGATTTTTATAGAAACGTGTTTCTGTTTTATTTAATGTTACACAGATGTTCTTTAAACTTTTGTTATCTACAGATGCCATCTATCGTTTGTATTTTGAATCTTATTACAAGTATCTTTGTTATCTCACGATGATACACTTTGGAGTTACCATTTTGCCAGAGAGAAGATTGACAGCTGCCAGGTCCGTGAGAGAATGTGTAATCGCTTTTGCGCTTTGTAAAACCAGCGCAATGTCCATTATCTTGTTTAATATAAAATCGATTTTTTAAGAAAAAATCATCTTGTTTAAGGTAAAATCACCTTTTTTAAGATAAAATCATTTTATTTAGATTAAATTGTTTTATTTAAAGTAAAATTATTATAAACGGATGTAAAAACAATTCAGATGATCCAGATAATCTAGATAACTTAGATAAGCGTGTTAGGCAAATCCGGGGACGGATGTACGTCATGGCAACCATCTTGAGCGACCACTTTTTGAAAGAGAGAGGGAATCGAGGAAATGCTCGAGCTTTAATTTAGCATTGACGTATCTGGATGTGTCTTGTCTTGTGTGCAACCTGTGCAACAGACCATAAAAATTATTAGAAATAAATGTTGCGAAATACGTGTTGTATCACAAAAAAGAAGTAATAGTATTTACTATTTTTTTACGAAACATACCGCTTGGACGGTCTCGACCAATGAACATCTAGCATAAAGTTGTCACACATTGATTTACAGTTTGTAATATATTAAAGCTCATTGGTCGAGAATGTTTTAAGTTTTGTTTTTACAATAATAGAAATCTGGCACGGGAAGAGATTTAACCAATCGCGTTCGAATAATTCGGTCAAACGACCGATGCAATTGGTGAATTCTCTCTCCGTTTTACATTTCGGGCCGATTTCCAACATCGCGGACGCGAGACCTCACATCGAATGAAAACAGACTTTTTCCAATCTGAGTTTTTGGTCCTGATTAGCACACAAGCGTCAATAATACATAAACTACATAAATAAAATGCGGCTATTTAAAATCTGGTGCTTGACAATGTAAAAGTAACGATTTCCAATTCGGCCGTGAGTAGTGTCGAATATTCGTTCATTGTTTGTTCACGCTTGATAATTTTGCGTTCGCGAAAAGAATTTCAGTGTAACTTTTTCAATATTTTTCAGAAAGTGATAGAGTTTTAATAATTTTGTTGCGTTCGTTCATGTATACATATCGTGTTAACATATTTTTTATTTTATTTTATTTTAATTCTCGTGTTTTGAGATAATCTACTTACAGCAACAATGTTTCAAAGATAAATTATAAATCGATAATATATATATTTACATTATTTTGAAATGTGTTCTACGTTCAGTTTTCAGAGAGATGCAATATTTTAATTGTGGGTGTGACTTTGTAGATTAAAGGTCTCTCCTCTAATCATGAAAGCCACTCTACTATTTGTAATTGTGCTTCAAACATGGACCAGTGCAATTCAGTTGTGCCCGCAACATTGTTCATGCAAATCGGTTGGACCTCAAGCTGAATGGTTACGTCTCAAATGTGGTGATCACTTAGAAGAAATCAAGAATGTAGATATCAATGCAGTTAGTGTGGAACTTACACAACTGTAAGATCATAGGTCTTGAACTTCTGATGTTTTTTTTTTAACATCTAACAACCAAGTAACAATAATTTAATTAATTGCAGAGATTTGAGCAGAAATGCTATTCACATTATTCAAGCAGATGTATTTTTAAACTTAACAAATCTCAAAAAACTAGATTTGTCAAAAAACAAACTTAGTTCCATAGGAGAAGGTTGTTTTAATGGTTTAGAAAAGTTGGAGAAATTGTAAGAATTTGAGTTATTACTCATATACATATGTGTGAACATAAATTGTTTTAATATCTTTATAATTTTAAATGTATTCCAGAGATTTAAGTCAGAATCAGATATCAGTAATAGACAGTTATGCGTTTAAACAATTGCCAAATCTCAGAAGACTGTAAGTTTGGAATTTATGATATAAGCTTCAACTGCTGTTATATAAAGATTTCTTTTTATCTTGTGTCTTTTTTGCTTTATTGCTCTAGTGATTTGTCTGGAAATAAAATAACTGCTCTGGCACCATCTTTATTTCATGATTTGCTGGCGTTAGATCGCTTGTAAGTTAAAGCATTATTTATTTGCGCTGACATAAAACTGTTATAATTTTAATATAATCTGGTTTTTATGTGCGTACAGTTTATATACTGCATTATGTTGGATACAAACTCACAGATATACAATTTCAGGAAGTTAAATGGAAATAGTTTGACCACTTTGAAAGAAGGAACGTTTCACGGACTTAAGATGTTAAAACAGCTGTAAGTGTAAACAAAAATATAAAAAAGTCTACGTAAAAAATATATATAAATAAAAGTCTATATTCTTATGTACAATTTAAAATTCAAATCTATGTTTCAGAGATCTGACTAATAATCCTTGGAAATGCAACTGTGACTTGTATTGGTTTAGTGATTGGATTTACAATTCTTCACTCAAGTTAAAGTAATATATATAAAACCATGTATTTTTTCTGTTAATCAAATTTATCGAATGTTACTAGAGAGAAAAAGAAATTTTATATTTTTGATTTATAATATTTTTTAGCCCACCGCCGAAATGTGACTCACCGGCGTTTCTCAAAGGTCAACCAGTGAAAAAAATGAGATTTACGGAGGAGCTTCAGTGTCAATGGATATCGCCCGCGATTGAAATTCGACCAGTTCAAAACCAAGTGGTCTTTGCCGGAGATTCGATCACTTTGAAATGCCGAGCACCCAGTATTACGGTAGATAAGAGCGCCAGACTGAATTGGCTGTGGTATCCCAATGCTTCTGCCGAAGTCGTTGATCTGAGCGCTTACAAAGATCCGCGAACGAGTTTGCCCAACATCAGAGTTGATAATAGAAATCTTTCAGACAGTGGCATCGTAGACAGGTAATACGCACGTACTTTTTGTAAATTGTTTAAAAAACTATACGTATATAATACGTGTTAATATTTATATATTTTGTGTTTACAGCGCTCTTAGTATTGTTCCAGTTAAAGAGGAGCACAACGGACAGTGGAACTGCTTGTTAGTTTCTGTAAACGGCAATAAATCAATGGCAGTCAGCGTCATTGTGATATCCGAAAATACGCGTTACTGTCCTCTAGCAGGTAACAAATTAATTAAGATATGTGCGCGCGACTCACAAAAAAACCACTAATCGCATAAACTCTTTTTATTTGTAGTAACCAGAAACAACAAAGGCGTTTACTCCTGGCCCAAAACAATTGTGGGATGGAAAGCCGAACTGCCATGCGAGGGTCACCATTTGTCGAGCTTGATGCAGGCGCCCTTGAAAGCTTCTTATCACTGCAATATGAGCGGTCATTGGGAGCATCTAAACACGGAATCGTGCCCGTACATATCCCGCACAACGAAAGTCTTGGAGCAGTTTGCGAAAGTGAATCTGTCTCTCACACGAGTGACAAGTAGCCTGATGGAAACGGCCAAGAGATTCAAGAATTACACGGGAAACATTTCGCTAAAGTTACAAGATCCGGTCGAAATTCACTTTATAGTGCAAACGATAGAGAACTATCTGAATTATCTCACCGATGAGAAGGAACTTGGCTTTATGTTGATCGACATTGTTAGTTCGATGATGGAAATATCGAAGGAAATGCTGAAGAGAGCGGAAATAAATTTTAAAGCTTGCACGAGATTGATCAGAGCGATCGAACGTCTCATAGAATTTACACCGTCCGTGCAATCTCACAAAAGACACGTGGCTCTCGAGGAATTTCGGGTTAAGCGCGACAGTTTCAGCGGATTAACTTGCACGTGGTACACAAACGTCGCTAATTCCGATTCAGACTCGAGATTCCTCCATTGCACAACGATCAATCGAACGACCCCAATAAGCGCGAAAGACAATACGATAGAAGCTTCCGTTCAATTGCCCGGGTCTTTGCTACGACAATTGTCGCACGACGGTGCGATAGCTCAACAGCTTATGATATCCATGTTCAGCGACAGTAGATTGTTTCCGAAAACAATTGTCAATGACAGCATGGATATAACGACTTGCATCGTCGGCAGCAAATTAAGTAAGCCGCGCGAGTGTGTATTTCTGTATCTTATTAAATCTTTTTTTTATGTAAAAATCATTGTAATGTTTTTTTTTTTTTTTTTTCCAGTTGGCACGTCGGTACAAAATCTCTCCGAACCGGTTTACATTATGTTGAGAACGCCGTTGTATCATTACAACAGAAAAAGACCGAAGCCAGTAGTGTGGGACGAAACGTACAACAATGTGGGAGGTTGGAGCAGCGATGGATGTTACCTGACTAACTTGTTGAACAATCTGATAGTTTTTCATTGCAATCGTTTGGGATATTACGGACTTCAGCAGGAAGTTTCGCATCTCGATGGAAATAGGTATATATACGGAAGTGTGAGATAGAGTGTGCATTTATTTAATTGCCGTTTTATTTTCATTCACACCCCTACACTTTTTTGTAGCGTGCACGGGGCAAGATTCAGGTATTCACATCCGGCGATATACATCGGTAGTTTCGTCACGATTACTTGCCTGACGATCATGTCGGTTACGTACATTATTTCTTACACATCGATCACGATGCCCAAGAAAGCGAAGCATTCCGTTGTCAATACTTGGTTTGCCATGACGTTGCTGTCGTTTCTCTACAGCATCGGCATTCAGCAAACGGAGAACGTCAAGATCTGTCAGGGAGTCGGCCTCGCTTTGCATTATCTAACCTTGTGCTGTCTGTTGTGGATGGCGGTATCCGCCAGGTAGGATGCGCGAATTATTAACGAATGTGTAATTCTAAAACTTGTACACCTTCTCAAACTGCTGCTTTGATTTCAGTAACATGTACAAAAAATTCGCGAAATCGAGTCTCGATGTGATACCGGACGACGAGCTGCCGGATCAGCCGTTACCGAAGCCCCTGTTGGGGCTTTATCTGGTCGGATGGGGTATAGCTCTGATAATATGCGGAATATCCGGCGCGATCAACTTGCGAGAGTACGCCGGATACGCTCACTGCTTTCTTCGAACCGGACCGGCGCTCGCGGCGCTCTTTGTACCGTCCGGAATTTTGCTCGCTTATCTGCTGATTGTACTTCTGCTAATCAGACGAGCGATCCAGAACGTCGATACGAACGCGCAATTGTCCGACGGTACTCAAGCCACGGAAAACATGGATCTGGAGTTGCTTGAGCCGAACGCGAATTCTTCCGGTGACAGAAACAGCGTGCACAGCACGCAAACGGTTTCATCCGACATCGAGGATCCCGAACACTCGCAGATCGCGCAGTGGAAGGGTCAGATTATAATGTTGATACTGTTCTTGATGTCCTGGAGCAGCGCGGCCGCGGTTACGATCAAACCGTTTAACTCCATGCCGTTCGAAGAGACCGTGTTCTCTGTGATATACGCCGTCGCCACAAGCACGCTCGGTATATTCGTCTTGTTTTTCTACGGAATCGCTCGCAACGACGTGCGCAATCAGTGGCTGAAGATGCGCTGCTGGCTGGGAAAGCGAAAGAATCGATGCTGTCGCACCAGAAGCGTGTGCGACGCGAACGCCGCGATGCAACCGACGCAACCACTGGTCCAGAACTTCGTCCCGCCCTTGTCGAACTCGCAGGCGGCCGCACAAGCGATATCCGACACGAATTCGGTCGCCTCGTCGAGAAACACCAATCATTCGCAATCGCAGATCTACAACACCGCCAAACTCGCGGATTTCGCGGTCAATCACGACGACGCCGCCGCGGTGACGACCGTTCCCGCGAAAGCGGCGAATCTGATACTGCTTCATCGCCAGCAGTATCGCTCCAACAATTCCGTCACCACTTACACCGAGCCGTCGCCGGCCTGCGTCGAGATGTTCTACAATCCACATCAGAGCGGCGTAGCCAGAAAGTTCTTCAAGAAACAGCGCCGACACACCGCGAAGAAGAACAATCTCGGCCCGAGGAAGCAGGGCGACGGCGGAGCGACGAGCGACGGGGGCAGCTGCGTGTCGATACCACGGCCAACCGCGAAGATCGACAACAGTCTGGAACGCAGCATTCTGAGCAGCAGCGCCAAGGTGAACAACACGAACATACACGTAGAACTGAATCCCATTAACGACATCAAGAACGTGAACATACTGTCGGATAGCGGCGGCAGCATCTCGGAAGAGAGAAATATTCCGATACGTTTCGTCATTGGTCAAGAAAATCTGGCGCGTAATGTGAAGAAGATCAACAACGACATAGTTCAACAGGACAACGTCGCGATGTTCGACCCAACGAGAGGAACGTTGAGACGAACGGCGCAGGATTCGGACGCGGACATTTCGAAGATCGACGAGGAACGTTGTTTGCGAAACGTTTCTCAACAGTGCAGTCTGGAATACAGCTCCGAGATGGATGTCACGCAGATGACGAGCGAGCGGAGCGATCACAATCTACCCGAGATCTGCGAGAACGCGGAGACGGTTAACGCGCAGGACGAGACGTCCTGTTTCTCTTCGAGAAAGAGATGTCCGAGCGTGAACGAGATCGGGATCGTCACGGACGAGCAGTGCCTGCGCGACACGACGAGACGTCTTTATCTGTCAAACAGCATGTACTGTCTGCCGTTGGGTCACGAGAGACCGCTTACGAACAGTTACTGCAACTCGTTGAACGACGTGGCGTCCCTCGCGAGCGCGAGACACGGCGACGAGTTCTCGAAGCCGTCTCTCACGGACGTGAGAAGCACCACAAGTTCGAACTTGTGCGGACACGAAGCTCCCGAGTTTCGAAGATCGTACGATCGTTCGCTATTTGAGATAAACAGTTTGACCAGTGACAATCCGTGTACGTTGACCCCGCACGCGGCGGAAACCCCGTACGCTTGTTCGCTGGCGAATGTTTATTGCGTATCCGACAAAAGTCTGGAGGAGAACAATTTTTGCGAGGAATCGAGCGTTGATCGCAACAACGTGTTCAACGCGCCCGAGTCGAAGGATCTTCTAATTGAGAAGAACTTCGGTTCTCTAGCCGATATCACGTCAATTAGCAAGTCCAGTTCGCGGAATATCGATAATCTCGAGTTGTTCGACGAGATGAGCGCGCACGACGAGGCCGCGGAGACAAGCGACGCGCAACAACAGTTCGAGGCCGACAACATCTATTCGTTGGACGAGTCGACGAACCATTTGCCGGTTAAGAAAGAAACGAGTGTTTAATATACGTAATATATATAAACTACCGTTGTTCTATATTTAGATCTAATTATCAAGCTATTTATTTTATGCACACACACACACACACACACACACACACAATTTAGCATTTGAGTAAGTAAGTTGGTTTTTGTGACGTTCAAGTCTCTGAATGTGTTCAACAAATTTTATATATATATTGAATAATACCCTTGTGTCTTCTCGCGATTTGTTTGTTTTAAAGAAGAATTTGTATATAACAATCACACAAAGTGTTTTTTGTGTGTTTTTGTTTTTACATAATTTTTCGAGACGATGTTAGAAAATCGGAAGTTTTTTTATTTTTGATGTATAGACGACACGATGTGCGCGCAGTCGTTGTCGTGATTTCCGCCAAAACAACAACAACAACGTGTTGTCAAAAGAGATTTCCATTCCCACCGAAGAATTTTGTTCTCAACACATTTTTGTGCTCTCTGTGTGTGCTAACCGTTTATCGAATGTTCTGTGAACTTCTTCTCCGATCACTTCCTCGCGTCTTGTGATCTCCAGGATCAACATCTTCGTCTTCAGCGTGAACGTATTTTTTTTTTTATCTTCGGATGATCGAGTTCTGCTTTGTGTATGTACATATAAACTGCCTAAAATATAAATTGACGAAGAAATGAGATTTCTGTATAGACCGAAGAGAGAGACTGAGTGTGTTAAGGATATTGAACTTATATGCAGACACTTTATATCAATTGTCACCGACTTCCAATTTATTGTAAATAAACGTTCCTCCGGTTGAGTTTCTGGGAACGATCCTATGAGAGCGTGTTTAAACGCACTTTTATATATATATATATATATACATATATATATAAATTATATTGTACTTTATTCTTCTTAATATGTTACTTTTTTATACATATGTATACTTTGATCTTTCTTCGCGCGAAAAATATAAAAATTTTTATTATATATATATATATACGTACGATTGTATACAAAACCAGTTACTAACTAATTATACACATGTATATTGTACAAAATTTTATATGTTTGGATCATTTGCCAAAACCCCACTTTCGTATAATACTTCTATATAATACATTTCGCAAACGTAATTGCACCTGAGATGATCGACGTCTGTCATTAAAAAAAAAAACAGTTAAACCCCGACGGGATAAAAATCTCATCGATCGATATTTCATTACTTAATTTTTTTTTCTCTCTCTCATGTATGTACGTCTTAGATGATCTGTTGTCGCAACGTTTTGAAGGTAACTCTCCGTAATTTTTTCAATCAAAAACCTTTCTCCCAATTTGATTAATCATTTACGCTCGCGCCCCGCCTTTCGCCACGCCCAGCCAGTCTTTCGGATTTTTCAGCACTTCCACGAGCTGCGATTCCTTGGACCCGGTTTCGGGTTCGTGCATGTATTCCCACTTAGCGTTGAGCGGCAGAGACATGAGTATGCTCTCGTATCGCGCGCCAGGCGTGTACAAACCGAATTTGGTTCCGCGATCGTAAATCAAATTGAACTCGACGTATCTGCCCCGTCGTAACAATTGCCACTGCCTTTCCCGATAACCGTAACCGTCGTCCTTGTGCTTCTTCACCAGAGGAATGTACGAGGGTATGACCGCCTCGGCGCACGAGGTCACGAACTGAAACGCCTCGTTCTGACTCGGATTGTCGAGATCGTCGAAGAATATACCGCCCACGCCGCGTCGTTCTCCACGGTGCACGATGTTGAAGTAATTGTCGCACCAATCCTTGAATCTGGCGTAATACGTGGGATCGTGCTTGTCGCAAGCGGTCTTCAGCGTTCGGTGAAAGTGTCTGGCGTCTTCTTCGTTCAGATAATACGGCGTTAGGTCCGTGCCGCCGCCGAACCACCACTGAGTGGTGCCGTCCGGATTCTCCACCTCGAAGTAACGATAATTGAAGTGTATCGTGGGAATCATGGGATTGCGGGGATGGATCACGGCGCTCACGCCAGCCGCGAAAAACGGCACGGAATCTTCCATCTTTTTGCCCCGCGATCTCATCTGCTGAATCGCGCTGGGCGGCAATACGCCGGTCACCACTGACACGTTCACGCCAGCCTTCTCGAACACCTGTCCGTCCTGAAGAACGCAAGTTATACCACCTCCGCCTTCTTTCCTGGTCCAGCGGTCCACCTTGAAACACCCGTTGATTTCGAGCGACTCGAGAGCCTGGCAGAAGTCCGCTTGTGTCTTCATCACCATCAGTTCCATCTTCGTTCTCATATCGTTTTTCTTCAACCTCTCGATAGGTGTGATCGGCTCTGCCATGAATGTCTTCATGTGATTTTGCAAATCGTTATCGTTTCTAGCCGCCAGAACCGTCATGCTGGAAACACCGTACGCCGCAACTCCCGTCAAAATTCCCGTTCCGACAAATTTCAGGTGTCCCGACTTGCTCCACGTGGCGCAACAATTGATACCGATGGTGTACAAGCTTCTCCAGTTCTTCAGAATGGAATTTGCCATTTTTTTTCCGTAGCTCCTTCAGGTTTTCCTTGATCTTCTCTCAAATGTTATTCTCACTTCTAGCGAATCAGATGCGATAACAGATTAATTAGTCAGAGAGATAATTGGACCATCTGATATTGTGATACAATATCGAAAAATTACATAGAAAACATTTGCGCACCTTTTGTTCTTACATCGATGATTATTCCACTTCTCATCAGTGATTTTCCATTACGTTCATCAGAGTTAAAAGGTTTTGAGAAATGTATATTCTATATTGAGGATTTTTTTTAAATTTAAAATCTACCTTCACGTGTCTGACAGAGGTTTTAAAAAACCACACACACACTTGGAGGCCCACTTTGCGAGGAGGTTAAACAATCTGCCGGTAAAACAGCACACGTGTCAAAGTGTCATCTACGAGCTTGTGGTGTGAAACGTTTCATTGGTCGCTACTGCGCACCTCCGAGAGATGAAACTACACCCTTCTGTCATTACACCATAGTCCGCGGAAAGTCGCGTTGATCACTGTTTGTTGTGCGGTTAGTGGCAGTTTGCCGTCTGCTCCGGTCGGTGTGTGTGTGTGTGTGTGCGTCTTCGGTTGCTCCGATAATATTTCCTGTCACATCGGATGAGATCGTGAGGTCGTTTTCTTCGCGCGAAACGAAAGCTCGTCGAAGCTCTGTCGCTTTGTCGCGAAACGAGGAGGGGGGGGTTTGTAAATTCCAGTAGGACGACGCGGCGAACCGTCGTCGTCGTCGTCGTGTGTACAAAAGTGAAGGCGCGTCCTTTCGATCGATCGTCACAGACACATCTCGAAGCGAAGAAACGCGCCAACCAAATCCCGCAATTCCGCACATCGGAATTACATATACACACACACACGCACACGCGCGCGCGCGCGCGTTTTTTTCTTTCCGCGGCTTTTTAATCCCGCGATTTACCATCTCGCCGCTGTCAACCATCTCCAGGCAAAATGGCAACTGTCTGCTACTCGTTGTCCAAGTACGGACTGGTTATCGTGAGCGTTATATTTCTGGTAAGTTTGTCCGATTGTGTCTCTTTACTTGGACACTTCGTGTTTGTTCTATACTTCAGTTTGTTTAAGTATAGTCTCTCTCTCTCTCTCTCTCTCTCTTTCTCTTATTGTCAAACATACACGGCCAATTTCTTCATACCTCTCGATATAGCTATCCTCTGGATAAATTCCTCTGAGAACCAATAAGGAGAACCAATTTTGGGAGATATCTTCTAGATAAAGTTATCGAAAACTTATCTAGAAGTGAAAAAATTTTGACTGACAAGCGCACTTCTCTCTCACACAACTCACAAGATTTTTGTTACATGTGTGTATTTTTTAAAATATTTTCTCCACATACACAGATACACTTCGCCACTTCTCTCGATAAGGTCGTCGCAAGTGTGTTAAATCTGTCGCGTGAACTTTGACCACGAAGAAGCATGTGAATTACGATCACTTTTTGTTGATTGTTGACGAACCGCGGGCCTGTTAAACAACATCGTGTTCCGAGAATTGCGACATTTAATCTTCCGGAACGCGCGTTGAGAGGATGCGACAGATATACATATACGCGACACACGCAAGATGATGTCGCCGCTAATGAGAATTAATGCGTAATTTCGAAATTGCGAGAGGTTTGTATTGTTCAACCTTGAGTTTTATTTCTGTGCGAACGAGAGATTTGATACGAATTTGATTTGGGATAGGTATAAGCGCGCGTGCCGCTTATTCTCGCGGGACCGAAATATCGATGATGGCTGGAAAACATGAAACACAAATCAAAACTGTGAAAACGAGGAGAACAATTACTTTCTATCATGGAATCGATCACGCGGACGGATATGAGACGTCTTCAACGTCATCATGGAGATCACGATCTAAATCGACACGTGTATATTACATCCATCAGCTACTTCAATTCGCGCGAAAACAATCGAAGAAACTCGAACGCGCATATCGAAATGTTCATAACAGGCAACGGTGTTTAAATATAGTCTTCTAGTCAAGGAACGAGAGAGAGGCATGTTCTTCCTACAACGAAACCTTCGGCCCACGCTAACAGCCCAGTTTCCTTTGCCCCCGTCGTATCTTCCCACCTCCTCCTTCTTCTGCTCGTTGTCATTCCCACATCGACAAAAGTGCGCGCTCTCCAAATGCCGATTGCACATGTTTTCTTGAGTTAAAAATTTAGATTAGAAACGGGATTTTTTTTGAAACTTGTTGCGTTTGCCGCAGAAACGAATGAATTTGATCTAAGAGATCCATCCTACGTAAGGATAATTTAAAGAAGAGAAAAAAAAATTATTACGTGTATTAAGATTTTTTTTTTTTATTGCAAGCACGAATCGATATTAACTCTGATACTATTCAAATGGAATCCGCCTGATTCATCGGACCGTTTTTAGTTGTTGCGCGCGTTCTTACATCAATTCTAATATACTCTCCGTGTGCGAGAACCACATAAGTATCTTCTCTGTTTTAAAGATAGACACTTGCGCAATTTTACACGCGTGAATTAAAAAGAGACTGTACAAGAGATACAGATTTAATAATCTATTCTAAGCTTCGCGTATTCTTTTATTCTTTTTTTTGGGGGGGGAGGGGGAGGAGAGAAATAAAGTATAAATATCTCTTCAAACTCTTTACGCTTGTCATTTGTTAGATTTCTGCAAAATAATATAAAGTTAACACATATGCATTATATGTGTTAACATTTTTAAAAGTTTTTAAGAATATTTTTCAATTTTTTAAACACTTCAGGTCTCTCGCTCTTCGAATAGTTGACAATTTTTTTTTGTCGTTAGTTTGCGCGCGAATGTATCTCATTACGGTATTAATTCGGTACTTTGAAACATTAAGGATCGTTACGTCGATGTTTTTTTCCAACGCTTGTAATTCGATGTGTACGCACGGCGAAGTGTGTTGCAAAGAGACACGGCAGGAAACCCCAACCCCACGCGCTCTTAAATGGAAGTTCCCACATCTGGCGGACAGACCATCCCATTGTAAATGTTGCGCGTTCTCCCTTGTACGTATACTCTCCTGTTCGGTTAGTTAAAGTGGCTCGTTAGTTTCTTCCATCGCGTTGAGACTACACGCATACTTGAAACCTCGAGAGAGATATCTTGTATTTCGCCGTCCGAGAATTTCGAAATCAAATTCAAAGAACTCGAAATTCTCGAAGTGAATAAAATTACGCAAATGTGCGTAGGAGATATGATATTAATAACATTTTATGTGATATATTTTAAAAGAGAGAGAAAGAGAGAGAGATAGTATTATTATTGTCGCTTTAAAAATAATTATTTTTTTAATGCAAAAAGTGTGTTTGTTTTTTTACAGATCGTCGGAATAGCGGCGCTGATCCTAGGAGGATGGATGATAATAGACAAGACGTTCTTCGTGTCGATATCTCAGAAGAAAAGTTACGACGCGGGTCTGTACATCATGCTCGCCACTGCGAGTTTCATGGTCATAATTGCCTGCTTAGGCTTTGTGGGCGCTTTGAAGAATTCTCGGACTTGTCTGGCCTGCTTCATCAGCGTTTTACTCGTCGTGATTGTCGCACAAGTCGCGTCCGGTTGCTGGCTTCTGGCTCATGAAGACCAACTGGACCAACTGATCAGATCTTGCATGATAAACACCGTTAAAGTACGTTTTCTTCGATTTTGAAAATTAAATCTTTCATATATTTTGAAAAGATAAAAAAAAAAAAAAAAACATTCATTTTATCTTCGTAGCTTGAATATGGCGAGATAGAAAGTCGCACCGAAATTATGGACGTCATTCAATCCGATCTCAAGTGCTGCGGTGCCACTGGTCCTGCGGATTATGCTGGCAGTGCATACTCGAACAAGGACTCTTCTATGCCGCTTCTTTTAACCGTTTCCAGCGATCCGAACAATCTATACAAAGTACCCGAATCGTGTTGCAAGGATTCGAACAGCATCGCCTGCAAGGAAGGACGCAGCATAAAAGTAGCCGGAATTGTAGGTCCTGCGATCTACAGCGAGGTAGGTTTTTTTATTATTCGTAATAACATTGCGTTATACATCATGATGATTTTCATGAAACATAATATTTACCTCATGCAAATATAATTTTATTATTACAGGGATGTATGGAAAACTTGATGCAAATACTGAAGGATGAATTTTATTACTTTATAGGCGCTCTGATAATAAATTTAATTATAGAAGTCGTTGCTCTAATACTCGCTTTGATTTGTTTCTGCCAAGGCGGATCGTCAGATCGATACAAAGCCTAAAGTTACTTTTTTTTTTTTTTTATCACGTGTCATATAAAATAATGTATGATCCCACGCTATAGAACGTCCCATAGTAACGGCATAACAAAATTTTCCATTTCCGTGTGCCAATGCCACAATGAATGTTACGCGCGAAACGTGTAATCTTATATTTTGCTGATATAGTTAAAAATATTGAAACACGTGTGTTTTTCAAAACTGTTAACAAATCGCATTCTACAAGCGATCACCCGTTGCTTCCCCTTTGTTGAGAATTGATATGCGTTATTTTGGGACCAACTCAAGATCTGATGTGTAACGTTTTTCCACTTTTTATTTCTTTGTAAATAACTTGATATCTCATAGTGTACATATATTATATCCGCGCGCGCGCAGAATTCGTATATTTTACAAAACTAACTCTTGTAATATTTATCTACGCGCACAGAGCAACTCATATTAGCGAGATATATTAATTTTAGACTGATTTTTATCTTGAAAAAAAAAAAAAAGGTACAAAGATACAACAGATAGTAAACCGAAATATTTTATCATGTGATTTTTTATCAACGTGTGTATATAAATTTTGAGAAAGATTATATATCGAACTGAGGCTATTGGAGATATATACAAAAAAAAAAAAAAAAAAAAAAAGAAAAGAGAAACAGGAAGCCAATAAATATATTAAAATATATGTCGTTTCTTACGACGCTGTTTAACGTCATCAGACATGTAGTTCTGACGTTATTATGATATCAAATCGGTATCGATGTCTTGCACACAAGTAGTGGTNAAAAAAAAAAAAAAAAAAAAAAAAAAGCTAAGCCAATAATTATATTAAAATATTTGACGTTTCTTACGACGCTGTTTAACGTCATCAGACATGTAGTTCTGACGTTATTATGATATCAAATCGGTATCGATGTCTTGCACACAAGTAGTGGTGTATATATACGTACAAGTAGAGTTTTGAGAGAGTAAAAAATGGAAAGAAGAATTTAAGTAGATGTGTAATTGTTTTCCCTGAACAATTTTGACTGCCAATATCTGACTTCCGAGAGTAATTTTATCACACATTTTATTATTTTATACGTATCAATAAACGTTTCTACTTTTATGGATTTTAATTTTGATACTTATTATTGTTGATCTTAATCTATATATACCAGAATCTTTATTGATAAAAAAAAATGAAAAAGACATTTTCGTGTGAGAAAGATAAATCACATTGAACTTACTGGTTTATTTTATAATTTTCGAGTTTTTGAGATTACTGCCAAATGCCACTGTACTTTTTACTAGTTTATTCACATCTCTTTCCAAGCAAAGACTCGTATGTATAAGCATTTAATTCTCAACCTGCACAGTTAGGGTTTTCTTTGGGCCAAAGTCGCAAACCAAACGAGCGCACATTGCGTTTAATATAAAAAGAAAATTATATTTTGAATTGCACGAGAGCAATGAGATATATATTATTTCTATGACTAAAGCTGTATTCTTTGAATCTGATATATAATATCAGATATTTATAATAATGTCGCGATCAAATGTTTATATACATATATATACTAGTTTTTATATATACATATATATACTAGTATATATATATATATACATATATACACTAGTTTTTAAACAATATGATGGCTTAAAACTTTTAGCTTATAAGTAATAAATTCAGAGATCTGTATTGTTATTTGCCTAATTTTAGATAAGTGTTAAGACTTCTCGATAATCCCATTTTGGATCTCGAATCAAAGAGTCTCAAACCTTAGAACAGAATCTTTATATTTTACCTAATATAATTAAACTCGCAAATCAAATCTCGAAATTAAAAAAGATATGAATATTACGATAGGATCAATGCAGAGATCTTGCTCTTTAATTCGCAGCGCAAACGTCGTAGTGACTAGTCTAGTCTAAAAATGGATCAATGTCAAGTTATATTAATTTTTTTTTTTCGTTTTAACTTATATAGAGCATGTTATATTTTATATATTATTTTATATATAGGTACTAATCACACAGGATTATCTACGGATTCTATAAAATAATAGCATCATATATACATGTGTGTGTGTAACCCCCGTTACCGCTTAATTTTATATATAAATTATTATTTATACACTTTACGTAAGAACTAATATGTATTTTTTATTATATATAAAATTAATCGTAGCTAAAAATTATTGCATATTATTTTCACATGCAGCATTTTCTTAATGTGCTACATAATTCTTTTTGTTTCTTTTTGTTTTTCATTAACATTAGTAACCACGAAAGGCTGACGTTATGTACACGTACGCTTATCCATAAAAATATAAAAATTGATATTTTCAACATTGATGTATATTGTAATTAAGAATTTCGCGAAAATATCACTCATATATATATATATATATATATATATATATATATATATATATATAATATGAATGAATAATCAAATCTGCTAATTGTTTTCAATAATCACACATTCAAATTTTTTACTTGAGTGTCGCGAGTAAAACTCCAAAATAATATTATTACACGGGAAAAACTATAAAAAAATTCGTGACCAAATTAATGAAAAAATTGATACAAAAAAAAAAGAGAAAGCTAAGATATCGCAAAATACTCGATATTTATGTAAAAATTGTGACACAAATTAAGTGTTACTTATATGTAAAAATACAAAACGGCGTGTAGCAGCAATAATTATTTTGATTAAAACTGTCGTACATATTTCTCTTCCCCTCTTTCACATTCTATGTATCAATACTCTTTCTCTCGTATACAATGCGTAAATAATGCGCGGATGCACGTGTAAATCCTCTTTGCCGTTTAATACAGAAAACAATACTGTGTATGTCCATAAATGTAAGATCATTATTGAACCCCATTCGTGCGGAAATAAAAAACCTTCCGCGCGAAAGAAATTTGTGATGAGAACTTATCGGTGTGCGCTAATCGTGTGAAATTAAATTGTGCATTGTATGAATAAAAAAAAAAAAAAAAGAAAAACTTCCAAACAGTCTGCGCGCATTGTATATGTGCAGATTTCTGCAAATAAAGACTTGTGTACATCTCTAGCTGTGTGTTTGTATTTATTTACGATTACCACGTTTGCACGCATACAACACGAGTGTGTACTTAGCAACAAAAATTGTATGTATCTTTCCTGCGAACTGACCAGAAAAAAAAACTATTAAACAAAATGTAGTAGCGGTCGAATCAATTGTAAACAAACGTCGCGACGCGAAACCAAAATGATAATCATCACGGATCGTGTGTCAAGGGTAGAATACAAATGTGAAACAATTAAAATTGAATGCGCGTTCCGGATACGGTGGGGTTTCTCACAGTTCTTCAACGGATTGGATGAGATAATTTTAAGGTCAGCACCGCGAGTTCTGTTATTAAAATCTCGAGTTTATTTTCTGCGTAATCGATAACGCGCGCGTTCTAATCGCGAACGGGTATATTGAGTTACCGCTAATAATCGAAGCGGAAGGATGAAATATAAAGCGTGGAACTGAGCGACCGCGCGCAGGAAGGAAGAAGAAAGTTCGGAAGGAGAAGGCGAGAGAGAAAAGGCGCGACGCAATCGCAAGCGGCGAAAACAAGGACGACGAAGAGGAGGGGCCGGTGTGCGCAGCACCTGGGACCTAGCCGAGGGGCCTAGGAGGGAGCGGAACCACAGGTGCGGCCCCGGGATGAAGCACGGCCGTGCAATGTTGTACGGTCCGTCGTGGCGCGGAGAACAGGAGCGTCGCGCGACTGTTTCCCGTCCGCTTGCTTTGCTGGTCCCCTCGTGAGTCTTTTTTTTTTTTTTTTCCGGACAACCGCGTTTCAATTCTTGTTCGGAAAATTCCACCGCGCGCACACACATGTGGACACGGAACACTCGGTAAACGGGACCGTTCGAGACAAGCGGATTTCCTTCCCTGCGAGCGAGTTCTTGAAAATTTTTGACTTGTGATATCGAAGGTGTTGCATCTTCTGGGTCGGTGGTTCTTCTCACAGATTCTTCGCACCAAAGTGAAACATATATATATATATATATGTATAGAAGTCGACGCTGCATTCCCGAAAGGATTGTACGGAGATCTCCTGAGATTCTTTTTTTTCTGGTGTACACGTCACACGCGAGAGGAATAACAAGTGGGGCCTCACCACCAAATCCCGCGGCAGGTAAAAATTTTCTGACTCATCGACTCGTCGAAATTGTACAAGTAAGTAAGTATAATTGCAGAATACGGTGCGACGAGTGTATTGATAATAGTGCAAAAATAAAGTTTCTTTGTGCACACGTGTATTTGCAATCATTTGGAAAACAAATAACTTTCTCTGTAATTCGATGTAAGTGTCAGACAATAAGGTTGGAACAACCGGAAAGAAAATATTTATATGAATATTTAAACAATATTTATATAAATATATATGTATAAAACTACAACACAAATTATATATATACGGTAGTATGTATTAGTTATAATAAGATATAAAAAAAAGTCCGAAGAGAGACAAAGTCCAAAGATCGAGTTGTGATCCGCTGTTTGTTCGTGACACTTCTTCCTTTAGTTTACTTAGGATTATCAAACAGAGCCGTGTATAATATTTTTTTTCGACGCGCTTTCTCTCAATACCGCGCCACGCCGCTATAAGTAACCATGCCATGGTCATCTCACGTTACGTGGATCTCATCTAACGTTTCGAAAGAGAGACCCCGAAGAGACGAAGGTGCTCTCTTCGACATCACCTGCCGCGTGGGTGAGCCAGTTTTTTTGTTTTCCGCGTATGACTCTCGATACGCGCGACCTACTTTGAATCTAAAGCGCTTTAAAACTACCGGCGCAGTTGCGCGAACGTTTTATGATCTAAATTATTCTCGCGCGTTGATAAGAGATCGGCGTTGCGAACAACTTTGTGTATTTTTTTACTCTCCGAATCGTTTTATCGCGGTTGTACTAAATATAAAAAAGGTAAACGGAGAAGAAACACAATTTGCATTTGAATAGATGGCGCCTGATTTTTCTGATTTTTTGTTTATACAAATTTTTTTTATGCAAATTTATAGATTGAAAGCGATGAGTGAAATCCTTGACTGAACGCGTAACGGTTCTTGCGCGTCGTAAGTAAAAGCTCGAGGTCTTTTCCGAACGCACGTCTCGTCATCGCAAAGAGCCACATACACAATGAAGACCGTCATTTCCTGTCTGATATCCGCACTGGTGTCGATCTCGATCAACGCCGAGTCGATCAACGATTGCAACGATCCGAATTTTCACTCACTGGAAACGCCGGAATCGGCCAGGCGAGAGTGCGGCCCGGCTTTCAAAAATCGCTGTTACTGTCTCACAACGTGCTACGACGATCGTCTTCAGTACGTTGTAAATTGCACCAACACCGGTTTCCAAGACACGTCTCCGTTGCTGCATCTTCCTAACGACACGCAAGTTAGTATCAGGCGAATCAATCCGAAATACACAGACAAAGTAGTCAATAAGAATAAGTTTTTTAATCCATTTTTTCTGATACATAAGGTACTCATCTTCACGGGGAACGAGCTGGAGGAATTACCATGGAACGTGTTCGGTACTCTGGACAATCTGCCGTATCTTCGAGTGATCGACATGTCGAATAACAACATACGCGAGATCCGCGGCAAGGCCTATCATCACGTGCAACACGTGGAACGACTTATACTCAACTTCAACAAGCTCTCGCTGGACCCAGCGAGAAGCCATCCGAGAGTGTTCTCCAACTTCGTATCCCTTCTGGAACTGCATTTGACCAACGCCTTCGAGACCGGTTCGCCGAAGAACCTGGCGTCGACGCTTCATGATATCTTCGTGAGGAGGTATACATATAAAATATTTTGCGAGAGTTTTTGAATTTTTCATAAATTTCTATAAAAATCATTCGCGTTGTGTATTTTATGCAAAATATTTCCAGCAATCTCACGAAGCTCATGAAGCTTCACTTGGAGCAGAACAACATCTCGGAGTTTCGGGACGCCAACGTGTTCTGCGATCTGCCGAATCTGCTGCATCTCTATCTCGGCGACAACAATCTGACCGCGCTGCACTTCAACCTGTCGTGCCTGCACAATCTCAGCTTCCTTGATTTACGACGTAATAGATTCACGAGAGTACTCGAGCGCGATCTTCACGTGATCGACCACCTCGCGAAGCACAATCGATCCTTCTCCGTGGATTTCTCGGCCAATCCCTTCGAATGTTCCTGCAAGCTGAATCCGTTCGTCAAGTGGATGAACAAGACGAAAGTGTCGATCGCGCATAAATCCAGTCTGCGGTGCTACGAAGGTACGTAAGGTCCTTAAATTTTGTAATTTGCTCCTCTCGCGCGTTCTTTAAAAAAAACCACTCGCACACATTGTTAATGAGATTTTTGTCGCTTGGTTTTTGTTCATCAGGAAATGCGAGATACGATTTTTACGAGACGAAGAATTGCGTGCCGAAATTATTGGCTTCCACTCGACGTGGCACGACGGTGATACTTTGCTTCCTCTCGGTCGTGCTGATCGTACTGATGTGCGCCTTGTTCTATCTGCAAAGAACGAAGCTCCAGAAAAGAATCGAACCGGTGCTCGATTCAATCAGCAAGAGAGTGCGATACACCTCGATAGCGACCGGCGACGCTCGCGAAGATGTGTAAGAAGAAAGAAGAAGAGAAGAGTTACACAGGCGCTTAAAAGTGAAAAATGTCACTTTTTATCTAGCGAAGACGCGAACTCTCGTCAATCTGATTCTCAAATTAAAACAACGGACAATTAGAAGAGCGCGTGTAAGAAAAAAGTTTTACACGTAAAAAACGTTCGTCAAAATATATTCTTCTTTTAATCATTAAGTTTGTTTTTTATACGTTGAATTAAAAACTTTATTTGTATCTCGAGGTATCGTTCGACGTCGCGCGGGTCTACAGACGGATTTACATTTCCACGCTTGAAAAGTGTTTATATATATATGATATATGTATATGAGATCCATTAAGCGCAACGTGTAATCAAATTGTAATTAACCCAAGCGTGTTCGTCTAACGTTTTTTCTTTTATAAAAATGTGATCGAAATATCTATTCGTACACGAATAAATGTTATTTATTGTAATTGTTCTTGAAATATTTCCGTCACGCTTCTTCTCTTTCTCAGAGACGTTACACATATACGTGGTCAAAGTGACAACGAACAGACATTATGTGTGTTGATGTTTGTAACAGGTGCTGCGACTTGGCGTGGGTTTGTTTTTTCTTATCGATAATTATCGGAGCGAGCGTCGACATCCAAGATTAGATATCGCGCGAATTACATATGTGTTAAAACCTGTCGGCCAGGTAAAACGTTTGTTTGTCTGAAATAATTCGTATCGCGGAGCGGTTGTTATTTAACGCAGTTCGTCGCATCATTGTCTGTCTTTTCGAAACAAGTGTGTGCTTTGCATATATGTTTGCTCTGAGTTTTGCGTCGTCGCGCTTAAACAAAAAGAAGAAACATGACGCTCGTCGAACGACTTCGTCTTGATGAAGTTGTCAGTTCGTTACCTGAGATCGGGCCGACACCTCCAGATGGTGGCTACTCGTGGTTCGTTCTCTTCGGTGTTATCATCATTCAGGTTCGCAAAGCGTCTATTTGGTGACGGATCGGTCAAGTGAAAATACATGTATACATTTAGTTTAGAAATTCAGACCTATCTGATTTGAACAATACGCGCGCAATTAGTTTTTTTATATTTAATTTGTTTCTAATTACATAATTATTATGGGCGCGTAATAATTAATTGGACAGAAGTTGGAGCGATCATTTTTGACGCAAGACTGGGGTGTTTTGCAGGAAAATATATAATTATTCAATATTTGTTTTATTTACCGAAATCTATTTTTCTTCTTTTTCCTCTCGCGTTTGGAAATGATTTGCCGCGTTGATCCCGCAAGCTCTTTTCGCCGAAGCGAGCAGTTGCTCGAGATCATCGTTTGTCAGAATCATCTTCGTTGATTTTGTCGATCAGACTGAAATCTCACCGCTTTTCAAATCGAAGTGCGCACACATTCACCTTTCCCGAGAAAAAAACAAATCGATTTGCGTGCTTTTGCGGCATTTTTTCTCTGATTGAATTTGAATAAAAAATGCAGTGTCGGATGTGCACCTCGTCCGTGTTGATGCCATTTTTTTGACAACACTACTGAACTTTTTAAGGTTATGTTACGGGCCTTTCCCCAAACAAAAGATGCGTTCCACTTCGGACACTCACTCACACGTGCTTTGAACGTCGTCTCGTGTGTCATTTTTAATAGCTGACGTTGCACAAAAATTTTATTTTTAATTGTTTAAAATAGACTTTTTGGATTACTCATTTGTACACTTATAAGAGCATGATTATTATTCGCGCATTGTTTCTTTTTTTTTCCTTATTCGCGCGTAAATACAAGTTTGTAAATACAAATGCGCGAAAACAATTTGCTCGAACTGTTAAAAACAATTTTGTATTACATTTTTTCTCTTTTTTGGCAAATAATAAATTTGCCAGATACAAGGAGCACATCCGACGAAATTAAATAATAATTTAAATGATTTTTTGTAACAATGTGCGATATAATGAGCCGCGTTATTGCGCAACTTATTTTTCGATAATTTCAATGTAGATAAAAAAAAAAATAAAATAAAATGAGAATGTTTGATATACCGCGCCTGTATTTTTCTCAATATACCCTGTATATGTCACGTTTTTATGTGTAAATGAATTTTACATATATGTTACACTCGAGAAAAAGAAATTTTTAAAATTGTATGTACTACAAATTTTTTTGCAAAATTAAAAAAATAGATATAATGACGGAAGATGTTGCAATGTAAACAGATAACCGTGCCGAGCGTCTTGTCGATGTACGGCATAGTTCTGGGATATTTGACCAAGAGCAACGCATTTTACTTCGACGTGTGGAGCGAGAAGATCACATTAACGCCGATATTATTCGTCGCTTTCTGGAGTTTGGCGGGTAGATTATTTTTGTTTTTCATTGACTTGATATTATTTCGCGCGCGATTTTTCTCTCTCTCTATTTTTTCGCTCACCGTGTTTCAGATCCATGGACCAAAACGATTACGGATTTAGCGTCGATACCGCGCCTGGTCGGGCTCATCGGCGTGACTCTCCTCACCACGGGCGTGATAGCTTCGGGATATTTGGCAACTGGCGGGGTGGGCGCGTACCTGGCCAGTGTTAGCGCCGGAGCGGTGATGGGTATAGGGGCGAGTTTCGTGATCGTCGAGAGCGAGACTGTGTTGCGCAAACACTTCCGGGTGAGATTACCGTTGGTGCTGATGATGAAGAACGTCGCCGCTTCCATCGGCTTCACGCTCGTCCCGTCGCTCACGCACTATCTGCTCGCGGAAACCGGAGTGAAGACGGGTCTCTTGATGATGACGATCGTCTTCATTCCCACTGCCCTAGGCACGCTTACTTTGCGTTCCCCGATTCTACAGCGAGCGTCGCCTTACAGGTGACGAAAAAGGATTTGTTTATCTTCGTCGTTGTTTACAAATCGTTTTTTTTTAAAGATTAACTAAAATTAATATATTAGAATTAATATTGATTGTATTAATTATATCAAAATTAATATATATATATATATATATATATATATATATTTATGACTAAGTTATATATGTATGATACATTTGTCAATATGTTAATTTATTATTATGTTAAATAAAATATTAGACTACTCCTGCCGAGCGATGAAGACAACGAATTGGGTATCAGAATATCGGACAGAGAATCGGAAACAGATAGGCGGAACATAGGCATGGACAATGTCGGTTACAATAACGGCGACAAAGACAGAAACGCCGCTCCTTTGTTCAGCGAGGTGAACAGCATCTACACTTATGAGGAGCCGGACGAGGAGGACATCGAGTTGTTCGTTAATCCGTCGATGCGATCGGCCAGCAAGTGGAAGCAGAAGTTCCGAGTGCTTCATTACTTCCGGTTCTGGATAGCCGTGATAACGTGGATCGGGATAAAAACCGGCGCGCTCTTCTTCTGGATTCTGGTGCCCGTTTTGTATCTGAAGCGAGCAGAATCTGATTACACGGATAGTTGGATGATATTGTTGGTGATCGCTGGTGTGGGCTCCTTCGTACCCGGTGTACTTAGTTGTTGGACCGTCACCACTACCGTCCGGTCCAGAAGATTGTATTTCGGCGGCGCCTGCTGGCTAGGCAGTATCATTTTATTAAGTAAGAAACGCGTTTCTCTCTCGCGCAGCGCTTTTTTCTCTTTCTGTGAGAAAACAAAAATAACATCAAAACAAACATTGTCAATTTCTTCTTCTCATTTTTTTTCCAGGTTTAACTTATACGAAGAACTATTATTCGTTTCTAATATGCTCGCTGCTCGGCGGTATCAGCATAAGCGGTCTGCTCAGCTGCCAAGACTTGACGCTCCGCGACGTGCTCGGTAATCAGTTCGTGCGACGTTCGCACAAGTTGTTCTCCACCTTCGTTGGAATGGGGGTGCTGATTTTCTGTTTCGTGTACAGTGCGTATTTGAAACATTGATTTTTTATTTGAGACAATTTTACAGAAAAATTTATAAAATTTTGTCTTTGGTTACGCAACGCGCGTAACCGTAAAAGAAATAAGATCTAACATTGTTTTCTATTTGAATATGCGTTTTTTTTTTTACTTTTCACCTTTTTACAGGCGAGAACGTTTGTCTCCGCACGATCGCGTTGTTGCAGTTCCTCGGAGGAAGCTACTGGATTTTGCCGTCAATTTGGGATATCATGCAAGCGCGGAGACTCAGAGGAGGTTAATTTAATTGAAAAAAAGTCGCTAGTTCATATTACGCCGTGTGATACCAAACGGAAAATCACGGATTTTTTTTTTTAATTTTCTAACGTACATTAATTCGTGAACAATCGATCTTCATCGATCGATTGTTCAGAACGTAAGGCGATATTGCACAAAGTGCTTTAAATGTATTACGCTTTACATTTCTTACAAGTTAAACGGGCAATAATCGAAGAACAAGTGTTTTTTTTTCTTTACATTACACAAGTGTACAGTTGTAAGTAATTCATTTGTATCTATTATGTAATAATTATAACGCGCATTATGATATATCACACTGGTTCTTGTCTTGTTGATAAAATTTAAATTTATATCTATCCTGCTATATTATATTTATATTTATCCTTGCAAATTCTTTTATTGCTTTGTAAATATTACTTATATACACTTTGGAGCAATGTTGTTATTTTAAGCCCTTTAATTTTTAGAATACAAAGACACGTAATTTGTTTCACAAACTAATTGCAAGGTAGACGAAACAAGCGAGATGTCGCGTCTTTTTTATATTTTTTTCAAATAAAAAATATAAAAGATTCGATAAAAATGTAAAATATTTGTACGCATATTTGATAAAAATTGCATTATAATCAAAAATAATAAAAGTGATAAAAAAGATAAGAAAATTATTATTATTTTTTTTTCACTCACTTGAAAGTAAGAATATCATAAACATTATGTATATGTTCATAAAAATATCATATATAACAATTTGTTTTTAATTTATTAACATATCTATATAAATTTTTCGTTAAACTGTCTAATTATATGGCATTTATATAGAATTGTATTTTTATTCGCCAGATCTAACATCATTTTATCCTAAATATGAGTTAAATTACTTTAAGTTAATAATAAAATATTCTTTTAAATGCTTTTTGTAATTATTACGACTTACGTATTGATAATTGTGTGATAAATACAAATTATCAATATACAGGAATTGTCCGGTGACCGCATAGATTTGTGCCTGACGAATACTACTTTACGTACAGAAATTTCTCCCCATTCACGGTATCTTTTTATCCGTTCATCTTTTTAAACTACTTATGCCCCTTTTTTGGCGATATATGCACATATCAAAGTAGATATATATAATAATAATTTACTTAAAACACTATACGTACTTATACGTAAAAAAATTCTTATATACAACAATGTTTCTCTCGCTCAGAATTATCGTAATAAGATGGTTTATCACAAAAATGATATGAGAAAAAATGACAGAGATCGCGATAATATATAAAAAAAAAAAAACAAAGAAAAGATCAAACCTCGTAAAAACTTTTGTTACTTTAAATATTTTCTAAACATCCAACATGATTTTTTTGTGTTTCTGAGAAGCGATATTTCTCTCTCGTTGTTACAATAATACTGACACACTCTTGCCACAGAAAAACATGATAAAAGTGCGCAAATCGATTTTTTCCATATTATTCAACATATTTCCTATAAAATAATTTTGGCAAATTTAAATGCGCTTATATATATATATATATAGTATTACTTATATAAAAAAGGATATGAAAAACTGTTTTTAAACGATAATGAAAGTAGTACCACAGACTTGCTCAATCTTAAGGAAACAGTCTATAATAAGCAAACGGTGGAAACAATTTCTACAACAAATTGAATGAAGTTCAATAATATTTCAAACCTGGATAGTTGAAGATGAGGAACGTTGCGCTGCATTTTTTTACGTTTCACCTAATTCTGGATCCTTATCTGTTCCTTTACTGGGTCCCGGATTGTCACGCGATTTACTCAAGAAGCCGTTGAGCATTCGACTCGACTGTGGTTTTATGTTCCAGCTCACCGGTCGCGGCTGATTTAACTCATCGTATTCCGATTCGCCGTTGTTCTGCTTGATCTCGTCGTAAACATGTTCGACCTTTTTACCGTCAGTTTCGTCGATGCTGTGATACACGTTCAAGTTCGGATTTCCCATATCGGCGTCCCTATTCTTCAGGTCGTATTGGTACGCTCCTAAGAGTAAGCGCAAAATTAATATTATTATATGTTTTGTTATAATTTTTCTCTCGTCGTTAGCAAACTATGTTGTACCTTTGCAATCGTCTTCATCGTCGGTGCACAGACCGAATTTAGCCTTTTCCGTGTTTATGTTTTTATGAAGATTATTTCGAAACTGGAAGTTGTTAAGCAAAGTGGTGGTGCCGTCGTCGAATTTCGAGGAACCTTGATACGCGTACACCGGATTGTCGAATTGATTTCGTTCTACGACAAAAGCGACGTTTTTATTCGCACCTATCCGGTGTAACATTCTCAATTTTTTGTTTCGAACAAATTAATTTGCACGTAATAATTTTATCGGAAAAAAAAAAAACAAATTACCTGGCGAAGACATCGGCTCGGCTGTGTATTGCACTTGAGCTATCTCGTTCTTGAGGTCGGCCACCCTGCGACGGTGATACATCCACGCGGCCAATGACATGCAAATCACAACGATAGCCGCAAATATTACCGCCACAATGTGCCCGTATCCTCCTTCTTCCTTCTCTTGAATATTACGAGAGAATAATTGCTCGTCGCAGTTTTCCCCTGAGAACAAATTCGCCAATAACATAAATTTCAGATTATTTCCGTTTAAAAAAATTTTAATTTCTCGCACGCGGAATATATTGATTTCTCACATATATCACTTCTCGTATACCTGTGTAGCCATGTCTGCATATACAACCCTCGGACGGATGACACATGAAGAATTCGTTCTTGCACTCGCAAGGTTCCATGCAATGATCGCCGTAGTATCCCTCGGGACAAACTGAATCCGACGAGAGTATTTGTATTATCATTTTCGCAAATTTATTTTATTAACGTAGCACATAACGACAAACAACTTTCTGAACTTACTCTCGGTGCATCTAGTTCCGGTCCATCCCGGCGCGCATCGGCAGTGACCGTCGTTGGATCTGCATTTTCCGTTGTTCTGACACTTGCAGTGCTGCGTGCAATTCACGCCGTACGTGCCTTCCGCGCAAGGTGTTTGGCAATATTCGCCCTGCCAGCCGGGTCGACACTGGCACACACCTGAGATTGAAAAATTTTAACATTTTTAAATAAAAGAGTTCGCTCGAAAAGACACTTCGAGAAATTTTCGCAAAAAAAATCTTCGCAACGCACCTGTTACATGATGACACTCTCCGCCATTTCTGCAGTGGCAATGATTCGCGCAGTTCAATCCGTAGCGATTGGGAGGACACGGATGTTCGCAAGTCAGACCCAAATATCCCGGTCGGCAGACGTACTCGCCGGTAACGTGATCGCACGACATGTTTCCTAAAAAAAAAAAAAACAAGATGAAAAATAACAATAACATAAAAATTATTTTACGCACAGAGATGATTTCATTAGTCACATTTATTTCTCTAACTTTTGAATGTGTCATAATTTTTCTGTTATGTGCGTAAGATTTCCTGTCCGATTTCCTTTTCACTTCAACCGAATAAAACACAGATAAAAACAACGATTACGACAGAATTACTGAAGTTTTCTGATAAAACAATCACCGGTCGGTGACAAAGATCAAGAATCGTAGCGTTCACAATTAGCATTTGCGTCAGTATTTTACGTAAGCGACGATCAAATCGCTTCTTTTTACCGCGAATTATGTTAGCTGTACCGCGAAACACGTAAACCGAGAACAATCCGCAAAACCAAGCGTCTTATCTACATTTCCGGATGCCACAAGCGGAAGAAGTTTTGATTTTTTCTTCTGTTTATTCAATTTATTTAATATAGTATAAAATATAAACCGCAGAGTGTGTTAAAAATAGTTTCGACTTACGTAAAAATACGTTCCGTGAAATCGACCGACTTAGAGCGTCCCGATTAGTGCGTTATATAAAATTCATAAAGTGTAGGAAAATGATATGTACATAATTAAAGATGTTAAATGTGCAACGCAATTCTACCATAAAGCAAAAACACACAACGCAGATTATTTATTTTATGCTTCAATTAAACGCTATCTTGTGTACAAAAAAATCAATCGTGCAATTTTACACTTGTCAAATAATTTCTGACAACAACAAACGTCATGCAACGAGATCTATACAAAAATCTACTGTATATATGTAGGCGGGTCTTCTTTACCGTTCATTTTTTCCGGGCATTTCTCTTTGCATCTTAACCCGTACCATCCTTCCTTGCAGGGTTGCGAACAATCGAAGCCTTCCCAACCCCTGGCGCAGACACAATTTCCGTTCGTCGGGTCGCACGAACTATTGTTCATGCATTCGCAATGCGAGCGACAATTCTCGCCGTAAAGACCTTCCGGGCATTTCGTTTCGCATCGAACTCCTGTTTTGACGTTAAGGCAGAAAAAAAAAACCGTCTCGAGAAAAAATCGATCCTCTCTCCACTCGGCAGATTTCTTATTCATTAAAACTTAATTACCCCCGTTCATCTTTTGCGATACTTTTTTTTCGAACTAACACATTTGTGCTCTTTTTTGTAATCAATTCCAAGGTTTTAGGTTCTTGACTTTAATAATGAGATAACAAATTTAACAATTAAAAATTTACTTAATTAAAATAATATTTATAAGATCATAGGACTTTGACGCGCAAGTTATTCCTGACGCATCAACGGCCGAGTGCGAGTAGTAAATTTGACAAACCTCGCCATTCTGGCTTGCAGTTGCAATATCCAGTAGCGGAATCGCAGTCCACGGTGTTCTCCTCGACGCAGTCGCACGTCTGATTGCATCCGTTTCCGAAGAATCCATTTTTACAACGATCCTGACACAGTGTGCCGGTGAAACCAGCCGCACACGTGCACGTGCCTGCGTGTGCATAGATAAAGTAACGCGTGTAGTTCTTGGTGCACAAGTGCGAGAGAAAAGAAAACTCGTCGTACGCGCTTTATACTCTACTGTACAATGGTTACGAGACTGTTAATATGTATTTCAATGTACAAACGTTCTTCTAAGAACTTTGTTCTCTCAATAGTTTGCGAAATCTTAACGAGAGAAAGAGAGAAATTGCCGTTTCTCGGCCCACACCTTACCATTTTGCGGATTGCAGGCGGCATTGTTAAAGCACTTGCACTTGCCCTCGCAGTCCTTGCCGTAGGACTTGTCGTCGCACGGACGATCGCACAGCACACCGACCCATCCTGGCAAAACGTTACACAAAAAGACGTGATAATAGTCTGAACGTACTTACCGATGTCGAATATCTTTTTCATCGGAAATACTCCGAGAGAGAGAGAGAGAGAGAGACGCGATTTGTTAAATTTCACTACGATATATTCTACAGTTGAACTACGGCGAATAAAAATGTGTGGAAGCAAATCATTTGTCTAAATCTTCATGCAAGAAGTATATGTATGCATAATAATTACAATGCAAAATTAATAATAAAAGAAATGACGACAGACAAGACTATCAAGGACAATAGAATATATTAAAATAAGAAATAGAATATATTAAAACAAGTTAAATGTTTCGAACACTTCGAAGAGAACAAAGTGCGATTCCGATAAATCTCTGAGAAGATTCTTTTTTTTAAATAAGATTCCGTTTACTTGCAAAATCTAATTATGCTCAGATTATTGGGAGAGCGACAAGGATATTGTAATTACCAGCTGTGCAGTTGCAGCGTCCGTTCTCGGGCGAGCAAGTAGCGCCGTTCTGACAGGCGCACTTCTGCGCGCAATCTTCCCCGAAGGTATTCTCGGGACACAGCTCGCCGCAATCCTTCCCGCGGTATCCGGCGGCGCAGATGCAAGTGCCGTTGACAGGCGAGCACTGCGCGTTGTTCTTGCAGTTGCAACGATCCTGACAGCCTTTGCCGTATGTGTAAAACGGACACGGTCTGGAACAGGTCTCGCCGTCCCATCCTATCTTGCACGAGCACTGCCCGCTCCAAGGATGACACAGTTCCGTGTTGTCGTTCTCGCATTCGCAAACCTTCAAACAAAGATCAAAAGTTTTGCTTACGACATCTACGCGAAATCTACTCGGTGACGGTAGAATAAAGTTTCGCAAAGCAAATCTCATTTCTCACCTTTGCGCAATCAGGACCGTACAAGCCGTTCTCGCAAGCACGTTGGCTACAAATGTCGCCTATCCAGCCTGGGCTGCACGTGCAGGTACCGTTGACGTGATCACAGGTGGCACCGTTTTCACAGGTGCAATTGTTTGTGCAATTCAATCCAAATGTGCCTTCCGGACAGATGTTCAAACACTGTTTTTTTTTTTCGCAGTAAGAAGAACAAGAATAAATATTAATCGATCGATGTGAGCAACGCGATGATTCGCGCACTACAGATGGATTTGATATTTACTTTGTTGCCGTAAAAGCCCGGTTTGCACTGACACTCGCCCGTGATGTGATCGCAACCGGCCCCGTTGTAGCAGTCGCAGATTAGCGAACAATTTCTGCCCCAGAAACCCTCCGGGCATCGATTCGCGCACACCGAACCCTGTGTGACAATCGTCAGATTATATGATAATCGCGAAACATTTTTCGATTAATTCAGTGACGCAAAATTTCGCTCACCGTCCACCCGGGTGTGCAGTAACACTTGCCGGTTACCGGGCTGCAGCTACCGCCGTTCTGACAACGACACTCGGATTTACATTCCTCGCCGTGTTTACCCAACGGGCACAAATCGTCGCATCTGTGCAACACACATTAGTCCGCGTTCGAATTAATTTTGAATAACTTGTTATAATTTTAAATTTCCAATTTCGAATCATTTATTCATGTCCTGTCGTCGAATCGGCAAACAAAAAGAAAACTTTAGTCGTGAAAATCAAAGACGCGTCCTATATATATTAATTTACATTAAAAATATTATTTTTACATTTATTTGATTTTATAGAATAAATTTGAGAATTGATTGATTGTGTTTTGTTTGCATTAAATTTCTTTTTAAGTTTAAAGCAGTTGTTTCAAGAAACTCTTACATAATCAATTTTTTTCTGAGAAATATGACAAACACTCATAATACAGATAAGATATTAATAATACAGAAAAAAAAGCCGATAATAATTATGACAGCGTGTCGTAATCTCTATCACAGTTTCGTTTTAATCGCCAGAGAGAGAGAGAGAGACGTTTTACAAGAATCGAAGAAGAAACTCACAGCGGACCGGTGTAGCCGGAGGTGCAGTGACACTCGCCGGAGATGTGATGACAGCTTCCGCCGTTTCTGCAACGACACTCCTCGGCGCAGTCTTGCCCGTAGCGATTGGAAGGACACTTCTCGTCGCAGTAAACGCCGGTCCAACCCCTCGTGCACATACACTTGCCGTCGAACGGATCGCACGTAGCTCCGTTCTGACACTTGCAATCCATTTTGCAATCTCTGCCCCATTTACCCAACGGGCACCCTGTGTTCACACGGGAGTTAAAAATAGATGCTATCTACGCCGCTTAAACGAACTCATTATCTTTGACAATATGTACGCGTTTAAGTTACATATCTCTTCCGAAAAAATCTCTTTGTGCCTCACAGAACACTTCGACGAAGAAACTACTCGGCGATTGCAGACGCGTTCACGTAAATAAGAAAGTAATTTAAGAAAGATTATATAAAGTGATTTGAACTTTAAACTTTTTTAAACACAGATAGACGCGTTTCTTGTTACTTGATTGTCGCTTATCGTTTCTCAAAGTTTCTCTCTTGACATTTGATATTTTCTATATCAAATTCCAAAGCCTCTAAAAACAAAACGCAACATGTCGCACGCAATGAAGTCGATACTCAATTACTTGGAACTTAGTTAAAACTCGCGTGCCCTGTTATTATTATCGTTAGTTACATGTGTAGTAAGACACGGAGTCGTGACTTACTGAAGTCGCACAAAGGTCCGCCGTATCCCGTTTCGCACTTGCACACATCGGGCGCGACGCAAGTGCCGTGTCGACAATCCTCCGAACAAACTGGAATGCAACGATCGCCACTCGTGGTCTCCGTGTAGCCTTTGCAACATTCCTCCGCGGGTCGTTGTTTTGTCAATTCCTGCAAGAGCCGTACGTAATGGGGATTACGAGTTTGCGTTCACCGAGCGATTTCAACTGTTACTCGTGAACAAATCGTTTCTCCACGGTTTTCTTTTCTCTTAACTCGAATTTATTGTAAAACCTCAGCAACAAAATATTCCGGTTCATTTTTGGATCCGAACCCGAACCGGAACCGACTACCGTTTCGTAATCAATGTTTTACGGTCGGATCGAAAGCGCAACTAAAATTTTACCAAGTCTGTAGCTAACAATAAAAACCGCGATCGATAGATTTCGGTTCTTGCCTTTAGATTCCTAGGTTCTTATTTTATGTTTCACATTGCATTTATTGTTTTTTTTTTTTTATGTAAAACACGCCGAAGATGCAAATTTACAACAGCTCGAGACCTTTTAACTGAAATAGATAAAATAATTAAAACGATTTAAAAAACCGCAATTCAAACGGATTTTAGTGATTCGAAATCAGATCCGAAATTTTTGATTCTCGAGTTTTCTTTTGAGAAAACTCTTAACGCGAAATAGAAATTATATAACACTTTCGAATAAAAGAAGTGCTAGTTAGTTAGATAACCGACCTGTTCTCTGTAGACCGTTCTGTAGACCACTTTGTATTTGGAACATCTCGGAGGGAAACTGAAGCACCACGTGTTCTCCCTCACAGTGTAGGGTTTCTGTTCGGACACTTTCACCGTTACCTTGTATCTAAAAAAAAAAACAAATTAAAATATATAAAATATATAAACATATATTTTTGTCTCCCTGAAAATTCTAATTCTCTACACACACACACTTACGCAGAGAGAAACGAAATCAAAGCTAAGTGTCTCAGAACGGTTGTACCGAGCAACGAGCGCAGATCGGATAAACGGCCGGTCGAGGACTCTCGTGCTCTCTCTATAGTTTAATTAATTATTTTGAATTTAATTGAATTACTCACGTTTCTTGCCGCGTGCATATATTCGGTCCTTCGAGAGCTAATGTTGCACCCGCCAAGGTTGTCACGGTCAGCAGCAACCAGACTGCAGACCCCATTCTGGCCGATCGATATGTTGTGACTTTGAACTTCGCAAAACTCTCTCGCTATCGTCGTCTCATCGCATCTTATCGAATCACAATCTGTGTTTACGCGCTCTTTTCTGTTTACGCGTTCATTCGACTTCGAAAAAAAATGCGGTCACCTGTTTTTCTGCAAGTCAGAATTAAAACGTCGTGTTTAATACACGCGTTAGCGTGTCGCAAATAATGACATAACTCATACTGCAAAATGCACGAACGCGTCGCGCACGCGATATTATAATCGCGCAACGCGTTTAAGAGAAAAATAATCAAACCTCTATTATATTAAAATGTTAAATTCTTTGTCTCGCTAAGAAAATCTTAGCGAGAATCAGAGACTCTCGCGATTTTGCGCACACTGACGACGTACTGTAATGAATCACGATCGATACGGCGAAACCACTCTCGGTTGCGCCAAGCGTCCAATTACGCGGCGTCTATTTAATACAAATAAGCGCGTCGAGAGTTGCTCCAGTTAAATGATACTTCTTATAACTTTAATAAACGGCACTGTGTTCGATATGACAGACAGAAGATGCGAATACATACAGTTGCATGATCGATTTTCACGCTCGATCGATCTGATACGCGCGCAAAGTTTGTACACTCGCCTTTTGTCAATTGCAAAATAAATATATAGCGGAGAATTTTCTATATCGAGGGAGAGAGAGAGAGAGAGAGAGAGAAAGCGAGCGGTGCAATTTCATCGAACGAGGATGCGTGTCGATGTTGCGAGGGATTTCGTTCTCGAGCAATCGGGAATATCGAGTTTCGGTGCCGACGAACATTCGACGAACGAAAATTTCAGTCGCGTGCGCGAACAACCGGAAATCGTGCGGAATCGAGTAAAATACATGAATCAGAGTCGCGAGCACACGTGGCGCACATACGGCGGGATTTGAGCTTCACGTTTTTATCATGACTCGCGCTCGTATGATTCACGCGGCGAGTCGAGCGGCTATCCGAGTGGCGACCGGAAGTTACTTTAGATCGTTTAATGGACTGGATCAATATTCCGAGACGAATTCAATCGTCTCTGACCTCATCTCACGCCCACGAAAATCTCGCGCCCATATGCGTCTATTGTTACGCGCGCATATATACAAGGCGCGTGTATTTTTCTGCCTCGAACAAATTTTCTCTCCGTAGCTTTGAAATGTTTCTTCTCTCTTGAAAGAAAAATTGTTAAAATATCGGTAACGATGCGCCGCGAGCGCGCGATGAAAATTACAGGTCAGTAAAACTTAACGCCGAAACGACCCAGTTACAAGTTGTGGAAAAAAAAAAAAAAACTGCCGGAGCGAGCCGATCGAAAGTTATGAAAATTCTAATTAGCGTTATATTGCGTTCTGGTACGAAACTAACCCGCGCGTTACATCTCCGAGTTTCACTGCGATAATTAATTTACGCGTTGTAAAAACGAAGCGGGATGGTTCGCGGAAGGAGAGATCGCAGATCTGCGGTGACTCTTCTGGAGCAGCACCCGGAAAGACGCGGTATTTCTCAGAGAACGCTTCGTTTCTTTGTGTACAAATTACCCGCACGCCGTTGGTACGTCAGCGTAATTACCTGTCGCGCTACGACGGGCGAACCACGTGTGTCCCCTTCGTGTATATTTCGTAACTGTATATGTCACCGACAGTTACGTGCGACGAGACGCAGTGAAAGAGGTTGAGAAGCTTGTTACGCGATTGTGTCGGGAACACGAGACAAACGCGCGCCCGCGTACGGGAACGCATCGATGTGTGCGTGGAAATATGCACGCATCGAATTCAAGAAACCGCTCTAATGATGCAAGTAGCATAACCGGCATTAGACCGGGACGTACCGAGTCCGAAAGTAACGGTGAAGTGTAGACGAGAATGCGCGACTCGCAACTACGCGCGTCTGCGCGTATTTTTATTTGCTTTTTTTGTTTTATAAAAAAAGAGAATTATTTATAAAATTTTATTTTTCAAGGAAATTTTTTCTTTTTTTACACTCTCTGAATTCTACTTGCGAATGCAAATTTCGCCGTTGCAAAAGCATTGAAATAAAGCTTACCCTTGTTAACAAAAAAAATTTGTGAGAAAATGTTTTTTTGGTTAAAAAAAAAATAATCTCGGATATGTCGCTGAGTTTTGTTTGGTTTTCGCGCGGCGGACAAAAAAAAAATGGAATTAAGCGAAAATCCATTCCCGCACCCGAATTCTGGTACATGCTCCCCTTAGGCTGAAGTCGAAAAGGGGAGCGACCCCTCAATTCTCTCTGTCTCTTTCTCTCTTTCTATCTCCGCGACTCCGACGGGAATTAATTCGTTTATGTAGAGAAAAAGTTCAGGGACTTTGCGTGGTGTGTACCGAGCACAAACGAGAGTTATACAGGATGTGGGGAGTTTGCGATAAAACGATATATCGAACTCTGTCCGTCTGCGGGATGTGCATCATCCTCTCTGGCTGTGATTTCTGTACAAACGACACATAAATATAAATTTATACAAACGTCGACTTAAAACTCGCGATATGAAGAGAACCGCTGATTAAAGAGAAGATGATAAGTCTGATGACGAAAACATTGAAAAAAATATTTAGGAACAAGAGAGGATGTTGGGATAATTCAGTGTGAAAAAATTCTAAAATATTGAAACAATATTTTAATTAATATTGTTTTCTCCACAGAAAGTTAAATATAAATCAAATATAACGAGATAACACGCATACGACGATATTTTTTTCACTTAGTTGTCGAGTCGAGTTTCGGCACGTTTTTTTATGACAAAAACTCGCTGGAAACAAAATCTACTTCAGGTTCTACACAAGTAGCGGCAACAGTCAAAAGAAACAGTAAGTTTCATATTATGTATTTTATGTGTGATTACTTAACTACACAACAGACAATGAGATAAGAACAATATAAATTTATGCACCGAAACAACTTTAGTAGAGAGAATATTGCATTATATTCTGGATTCTAAGTAAATATTCAGAACAGAACAAATGGAATAATAAACACAATAACGCGCTGCCAGAAAATAATTTCGTGGAAAGCGAGATTCGCTTGTTACTTTTGTCGATAACAGTCGTTAGAGTTCAATTAGCGCGAGCTTTCAAAATTTTGTATTTTTCATACTTTTCACATTCCTTCCTTTTTTTATTAATTTTTTCTCGCATTGTCCCAGACAACTCGCTCCGCTTGCCGCCTAGTGTCACAAATCTTTTTTCGATTTATTGAGAGGCCGACACTCCCCTCTCACGCGGAATAACAACGAGCTCGGTCGATGAACCGCGCGACCGAGCATTTTCTTTCCGCGCGTTATCTAATCGCGCGAATTTAAACGTTTTATTCCGCAGATAACGTTGTCGTTACCTTATATTCCGCGGCTCGATTGTATATGATTACCGCAAGAAAGCCCGCATCAATGAACACGAACAGAGGAGATGCCAGTTCGCACGGTGCAATTAAAGGCGCTAAGTGCAACCGTCTGATCCCGTCCGATATTCCCAGACTTCCTTGCGTATATGTATATAAATACATCTTTGTTGAAAAATTGCGCAGTCGCAAATATACTCGCGCGCTCATCTTTTACGCAGAAAAAAAAAGCCAACGATGTTTAAAAAACAGAAATACTTCGTTGAGCGTTTACCGAAAATTGTGTACGTGTGTGCACAATAAAAAAAAAAAAAAAGATCAAAATATAAGCGTGAAACAGCGTGCGAGGGTATCTTTATGTGAGTTTCTCTTAAACGAAAGGATCTTAGAACTGAGACTCCCACAGATTAGATAATTCATGTGTGCTCAACACATTCTTTATTTGGTTTGCTATCGCCCCGTGTGCACAACTTCTCCGTTGTATTTTATTATCATTTGAGCATAAAAATAACTGTATTAAAAAAAAGATATTTCTATTTTAAGAACTTGTTCAAAATGAAAATCTTTCAAACGGAAATACTTTGTGAAGAGCGATATTCTTAACAATTTTTTGAAGCGTGATATTCTCTTAACAAGTCACATATCAGAGCTAACACGAAATTTCAATGCATACACGAGAAACAATATCGGATTGAAATTTCTGAAGAAACATTACGGAAGTTTCCCGTATATAGAAGCGCGAGGCACTACCGTGCCTCTTGATAAAAGAAGATCGCGCGTTCGCGAACGAATTTGCTTGTTGGAAGTTGGTTCGCAACTTCCTCTTCGCACATCTGCGAAAACAATATTGTCGAAAGCTTTCTATTTGTTACGTTAATGAGACGAAAATCAAATTACGCAACCGCTCATCGCAGTTACGATCGATTCCGACGCGTCGTGGGAGAGGAAAAGACAACGAGAGAAGCGCCTTAATCTGATTTCCGAAAACTATTTAGCCGAAAACTAGAACAATTTGTCATCGTAATGTCTCACAAACAACACGATTAACACAGCCTGGGAAGTACAATGATAAAAGAAGCGTAACCGAAGATCTCTCTCTCTCTCTCTTTCTCTCTTTGGTAACAAGCGAGCAAGTTTGACTATCTCGCGCTGCACAGCTGTGTTATTTTATACCCATTACTCAAAAACACACGAGAACGAGTGAGATAAGATTTCGACGCTGGATTATCTGAAGATTGAATTACAGAAGACTTTGAATCGCGTTGAATCGAAGTTTGTATATAAATAAGCGTCGAAGGAAAACAACAAAAGTCTCGCGAACTAAGTCGTGCGTGAACGTTGAACTCCTTTGTGAACGAATTGGCGACATTCTTACGTAACGGAATATTACACAGACAGGAAAAGTCACGCATTGTAATTTAGGAAAGGTAACGATTTTTTTTTTTTTTGTTCAACCGATATCACACTGCGATATATTTCTAATATTATGTGAAAAAGACGTGCGTGTGTGGTACGTACGTAATAAATAAATGATATTCACTCGAATGTCTCTTATCCATGTAAAACAATCTTGTTGTGAGACAAGTCCGTTCGAAAGGATAATTTTGCAGAGACCTACTTTACGAGAGACCTACTTTTAGATCGCGCGGCGTTGTCGCTGATAATATAAAGTCAATGTAAAATGGACAACGTAAAATATATACGTACGTTGTCGTGTCTGTCGATGAAAAATGCAAACCAGAGACGCACAAAAAAAAACATATGCGGGGAATTAATTATGAATTGAAAGATCGCGACTTAGCCTCTCGCTTTTGAATATAATTCATTCAAGAAACGCAATCGATGTTGAGAAACATTCGAGCGCTGATTCCCAACCAATCGCGCAAATGCTTCGCTCCGGTTTTTTTGTCTATGTATTATTAGAGGAGATAACTCTCTCTCCGATCGATTGGTTTCGACAATTGGGGACACCCCTCGGAGACAAATTGTCACTGGCCGCTTACACTCGAGGAAGTCGAACGATAGATTTTACGACGCACAAAGAGTTTCGAGTTACGTTCGCGCTAATGAGCTCGTCGAATAACGTGCGGTAGTCGCGACGCGTGTGAACTTTGGAAGAAACTCTAGACATTGATCTTCAAAGCGAGACAAATAAAGGCCTGGCGCGATGTCGTGTGTTCGGCATTTAATTGCGACGCGGACAAAGAGAATCGAAGTGAGGAAAACGTGAGCGCGACATCAGGAGGAGAATACGCGAGAGAGAATATTTTACAAAAACGCGACAACAACAGAATACTACTCGGAAGTCGCTGTGGTTGTAATTGAAACGATTTACGTGTGAAAACGGCCTTGGCGTAAACGTCAAATCAACTGTCGTCGGCGACGCTCGTGCCACCACATTGTCATTCTGAGAAAATCCAGTCATCGCGCGCTCGCGTAGGTATAATAATCTAATCACCCATACGCGCACGTATGAACATCGCGAGTACAAACACTCCACGGTTTTAAACTGTCTCGTTCGCGTAATCACCGGAAAGTTCTGTTCTCTCTCGCGCGCGGCACGAGCGCGGCACAGAGAAAACTCGGAGTCGCGCGTGCGAAAAAAGGTCACGAACGATCGACGAGTTTGACGTTTTTTTCTGTACAAATCTCAGCCGCGACGTTTTCCGACGTCGCGAAAATTTTCCGTCCGGGCCAAGGATCACTATTACTATGATAATTAAATGCTTAACAACGTTTCCTGAGTTCCAGTAACCCGAGCTTGCGTGAGTCATCGCAATCTAGCTGCTGTTTGTGTTTTTGTTGCATTATGTTCGAGTTTTAACTTCGAGAACGTCCGATATAATAACGTCAATGGATTTTTACATATATATATATATAACAAATTAATTATATTATATATGGGTAAAAATCTATTTTACATAATTGTGATATGGTATAAAATATTGTTTGTACAATATAATAATTGTATCATTACATGTACATAATAAAATAATTACAACATCTCTAGTTACGTAACAATGAAAATTTTTGTTTGTTTGTTTTAAATATCACACGTCAACAATATTAGCCAGATAGTTTCAATGACATCCTAATTGACATCATCCCCTCCCTCGTGTATTATGACTTTGTATATCGCGGCGGTACATCAAACTAACGCTCGTTGTGTGCACGCGAACGAAGTATCGGAGGGAGGACGCCTGCATTCATCCGGCTCGATATGTGTGACCATGCGGGTAGCATGTAACTTCGCTCTCTGCTGGTGGATTCCTTTCCCCTTGAGGCTCTCACGACCTCTTTCCATCCCCATCCTCTGTCTCTCCTTCTCCCTTCAATGACGCACTTTACAGAGAAAGAGAGAGAGTGTGTGTGTGTGTATGTGAGTGTGAAAGAGAGAAAGAGAGCGTCGTGTATATCGCGCAGCAACCATACGGCGGTTCTTTCACGGACCGTTCAGCACGATTCAAACTGTCATCCGAGATAGTTTGCGGCAGAGTGGAGTAGTAAATGGGACAACGCGCGATGCTTCGATGAGACATGAAGCTTTTGTCTCGAGACTACGTCTTTGTTTTAATGCCCACCTTCGCGCACGTCATTGATCCACAGTTTAATTCATGCGGATGATAAAGACATCAGGGTTATCAATAAATGAATCATCGATGGATGCTCCATTAAAGTCTGTGGTCAGGATCGAGTTTATCTACATATATGTGTAGATAATAAAAAAAATATTAAAATGATTCATATGTTTTTTGCTCTTTTCCAAATAAACACATAAATGTGCGTGCTGAAAGATAAATTAACAAGCGACAGATTTTCTCCGTGCGGACAGTTTTTTAATGAAAAACTTTAGTTAGAAACTTTCGGCGGTGCGCAATACGTCATATAAGCTTTGTGACAGTGTAATTTATTTTTCAATAGAAAAAATTAAAAAAAAAAAAATTTATAGTCGACGAAAGAAGCATAACAGAAAATATCTTACGTTCCACTAAATATGGTCTTCAAGATCTATGACATTTATTTATCCATGAGATAAGAACTAAAAAATTATCAAAATTTTCAAATTTTTACTTTATCTTTACATCATACAAACCACATTTTAAATATATTTTCGTTGCTACTTTCGTAAAAGTACGGAAGAATTTTTAATTTTGATATTGATTTTCCGCGGAGAGATGTTTAAAATCGCGTGACACCCGGTGTCTCACAGACCCAGTCAGTCCAACTAGCAGGCAGGAAGTCGATCCACGAGAAGAGATAAATGTGTTAAAACAAAACCGAGTGTATTATAAAAAAAAAAAAAAAAGCGTCGAGATGATCGTTTCGTCGCTCTTTGACACGCGAATTACGTGAGCGTTTAAAAGAACTGTGAAGTGAATTTCGAGAAAATTACGTCAGCGGAACGCGAATGTCTGTTATTAAAAAACTTGGATTCTTAAAATACAAAAGACACATTTGCATTTGATAAAGATGAAATATTTTGGATCGCATTACTCATACGGCAATTTGCGCGGAAATTCCTAGTGTTTATTTTGACTCGTCAATAAAATGATAAAAAACTCGTCATCAGTTTAATTTGTGCTTCCGCACTCGTTGTCTTTTTTTTTTTTTTTCGTGGAATTGTTTTTCCTCACCGGAAAAGAAGCACTTGCGACCAACTCGTCTGTGTTGTTGTGACAGCTGATCCTATTTTCTTCTTTAATCTAGAGAAGAAAATAAACAACAGCGATAACCTATTGATATACAATCATATATTTTATCATAATATTCCGTCTCACATTCACACACAGGTGATATGAAATTTATATATGTCGCAGGTAACAAACAGTCGACTTCGGCTAAGTCGCGGCCTAAAAATAGGCGTGATTACCGACGCTCCGAATCAAAAATAGTCGTCGCGTACGCGAGATTCGTTTCACACGGCGAGAAATCCTATTTTCTTACGGTTCGGAATCCGAATGTTGACAGGTCGAGAGAGGCCAACGAGGCGGACTCAGGTAAGAAGTCGCGCAAGAGAGTTAACGGAAGAGATGCGTTCGCGAAGAGGATCGAGAAGAACCGGTTGAGAGCACCGATCGAGAATGTTTTTTTTAGCGTCACGGCCTAACAGAGCGAAGTAACAGAGCTTCTCTCCGTCTCCGAGATCACGTTTTACGCGCATACCACACGCACTCAAGGACTTTTGTTCGAAAGCGTACGCAGTAGCAGCGCGCGGATGAAAAATGCGAAGAATCTCCCGTCGAGAGTCTACCTGTGCAAAGCCCCTTTGATTGACAATCACCCGCCGCTCCCGAATGAGAAAGGTCGAAAGAAAACTTATTGTACGACATGCATACCTTATTAGTGAGCAGAATACTAAACAGTGATAATATGAACCTTTTTTTGTGAGTTTATGATCATTTTCCCTGGCGAAATATCTTTTGTACGCAAACACAGTATAAATAAAAATTCCAATTTTTTCTAAATCAACCTTTCAAACCTGAAAAGTGTGTTTTCTTTTCCACAAACGTTGTATGAGGTTTACAAAATTCTTACGTAATCACCGAAATGTATTTCTCGCTGACTTCGAAGATCTTCGATATTATTATTTCAACGTTGTTAACAAAATGTTGAGATGCTGCAATTTTTGAATTTAAACATTCAACTTTTTTTTACATATTGTATTAAACAACGCGTCGCGCAAATGTGAAGCAAAAAAAAGTGCAATAAAAAAATCCGGTCTCAGAACTAAAGATAAAAACATTTCAAAGAAGAATTAAAAAAAAAAAAATTGAAATGAGTCATTTTCGACGATTATACGAGTACGTGACATTTCGCCACCTTGTTCACCACTCTCAGGAGTTAGTTAAAACCTAATAATTAGCGAGTAAACGTGTTCTTTCAAATCGCTCATGTATCGCTGCATTATTCATCGGAATAAAAAACTTTCGCTAATTTCAAACACGGTTGTTTAACATTTTAATCATCGTGGCTGGATGCGCTAACGGGTCTAATAAAAACTGGGCCGTCAACTCGGGCCGAAGCTCTTGTTGCGTGGCCAAAACATATTGAAGCGTAAACGAAGCTATATCGCGCGAACTAGAATCGCGAAATTTTAACTACCAGCGCTTCGTCGTTATAACAGTTAACAACCAAATATATATATGTATACGCGAGCATTTTGTGCGGAGGTAACCGGAGCAAGGAAAAACAAAACGCGCGACGCGCATAAAACGCGAAAAAAATTATATCAACAATTTTTTATCCGCGCGTGTGAAGAATTTATAATATAATTTTGTATAAATTACAAATTTGTAATTATAAAAAAATTCGTTGACAAGTAATTTTTGATCGATTTTCTATCGCGCGCGATCACAAATCGAACAGCTATATAAACATTGTCGTCTCGCTTGACGTATAAAATTGTTTTGGTATTTTTCTTTTTGCTCGCGTACGCATTTATCGTCTTGCGTATCATCGCGCGTTTATCTTTCGCAAAGCGAAACGAACAGACGTTTATCTCTTACTTGATCGAAGAGAATCACCACTGGCGATTAATATTTCTCTCTTCCGAGTTCCTCCCAATCTGGACAATTGACGTCTACGTACGGGAGATACGTGGTTCTTCCATTCGCAATATAACAGATCGACGCACGATCTGATGTGTTTGCTCCTTTCCAACGTCGAAGCACCAAAATCGGTCTTACAAAATCTCGCGCGCCGATTTTCCTCGACTTTCTCGCATGCGTTGGATTTGCGGCGCGAAAAAAATCGCGAAAGAAAGGAACGCGCGCTAAATGAAGCTGACGACGAAACGCCGAACGCACTCCCCGTGTTTAAACTCCGAGGTCTTTCATTCAACTGAAAGCAGCGAAGCGGCGAAGCAAAAGCGTTCAGCAGCCGGTTTGCTCGCAACCTGTCGCGACACAAGTTTCTCGATCGCCCCGCTCTTTCCGGAGAATAAATAGAACAGTCTCTGTTCTTCAACTTTGAAACGCACGCGTGCCGTGATTTGTTTGTATTTTGCAACACAACGCGCGCGATATGTGTATGCATTATATCAGAGTTTTGTTACGTTGCGCTGTGTACAAATAACGGAATTGACGTAGGCGAGTTACTCTTTGTCGGACATGTGCGCTGAAACTAATAGCAGCGGGCGTGCTTTTGAAGATTTCTCCGATAAAGAGGCTTATAACAAATCGTAGTTAGCAATAAGTTATCGCAATTATTATTACAATTTTTCAGAGTTCGATTAATAACTCACACGTGTAACAACTCACGCGTTTAAGACAATATATTTCGCGAAAACTCTTTGCTAGTTTGATACTACAGGAGTTTAAAATTTGTAAATTTCTTATAAATTTTGTTTATACGTATACATACGAGTACGTATTTCGTTAATTGTAAGGATTGAAAATTTGAAAAAAATTTCGTCCGGGCGACTATCTTGTGGGCGACCACTTTTTGTTCTCTCTTATTACCTCACTGGTATCGATTTTAATGCGCATGCCCGAGAAAAAGTAACGCATTTTACATTTGTACCGCTAGATTGCGCGTCTATTACAAGGTCGTTATTTCGCGGGCAAATATGAATTTTGTACATTTCGTGTATCTTCATAAATTTTGATTTTTAAATAATAAACATTGTCTACAATTCCTTAATAAGGTAGATAATACGCTGAATCAATGCGCATATATATACATATATATATCTCTTTCTCTCTCAGTGCAATACTGTACAAAACATATTTATTCAATAATTTATGGAGACGCACATATACACAGTGTACAATATGTAAGCTCTAGCGCAATTTTTCAATACCGCTACTTCGGAAAAGTTTGTGTGTCTAGATTCTCTAATGTTTATTTACAATCACACTTTTTGTTTTATCAAGAAAATGATTCACTTACTACAAGCGACGTAGTGCGCCACGCGTTTCATTCAACACCGAGTTATTAGAGAGATAGAGAATAACGAATTTCTTGAAAATATATCGCGCGCGCGCGCGCCAACGGGAGACAATAAACATTTCCCGTTATTACGCGTGTTTTTCTTTTTTCTTTTTTTTTTTTTTTTGTTTTGTTTTCTTTGGTGTCGAGAGAAACTCGAGGAGCAATTAGAATATGTAGCGCATGGTACATACAAAGTTAAAAAAGCCTGATCTATTTACAGATCCGGTTTTTGTTTAAAAACCCTCTTTACAATCGGACGGCGAGGAATAAAATATTTGTCGGGTATCGCCTTCCGATCGTAACGGAGTCGAGATACAAAGCGTGTCTACGCGCGAATATGTTTTGTCCAAGTTCTGTCAAAAATATCCTATTTACAACAATAGGGTACGTGTATGTAAAAAAAATAATAATAAGTTCTCACAATGACAATCTGCTGTTTTTTTATTTCACGTTGTAAAATGCAAAATGTCTCACTCGCTTGCCCAAGTTCTTACATACTTAGTAGCGTTTTTCCTTTCTTTTCTTTTTTTTTTTTTTTTTTACGCGAACAGATCACAGGCATTCCTGCCAAAAACTCAGTGCACCGGCATTAGAACCTGTACCATCATGCGGTCATAATAATTTGTAAATATCTACGAAGAAAGACTTTGCGTACCGCACATCAGAATAACAGATTCTTTTCCCTTGGCTCTTTATAACGCGTTTTACAAATGTCTCCCTGTACGAGTCAGTTGTACATTAACAGATACAGATGCTACCGAGTTAAGGTTCAAATTCTTGATTCGACACTTTCACATCTTTAAAGTTTAAAGCAGAGCTGGGATTGAAGTCGCTATATTTCCGACAAAGACAGAAGAATGTAAACTTTGTACGAATATTATAAATTACACGTTCGTTAGAAAGAGGAAAGCTGCGAGGGAAGAGATTTAAGATTGATAAAAAAAACCTAGCTCTGATTTAAAAATTAAAAACACAAAAAAAGAACAAAGAATATATATCGTTATATATATATCCAAGATATAATAACATCTCAGCTTCAAATATATATTTCTATTAAACTTTCTTTATCTTTAAATCGATTTTATACTTTAAAATCTCATAATTTATGTGACTAAAGCTCGCAAGAGATTATGAGAAATAACTCATATATTACACTACACGATAGAGTGCTACATGACTAAGACACAAACGTTTGAAGACTTGATACTTTGCACAAATGCTTTGCGAACAATGATCGATTCTCACTGTACGGTCGGAGCACGATCGAAAGAACAATATAGCTCTCTCTCTCTCTCTCTCTGTGTGTGTGTGTTCGACTCGAATGTGAGTGATAAATGTTGAATATGCAAATTCGACGTAACATTGAATTTAATAAGAAATCAATCTTGACTTATGATCGCATCGTGATCTGACCGAGTAATAAATCGAGCGCGCGAACATAGAAATAAGTACTACACAACACAGTTAAGAGACAGGAATAAAACTGGAAAAATATACAAATGTTTTGGAACAAATATTTCGTACATATATCCCGAAACATAGAAACAATATATTAGTCTTGCATATCTATGTGCGATCTATATTGTAACCTCAAAGGTGGGTCCCGGAACCTCCATCTCGTCACGTAAACAAATTTCAATGTGTGGTCCTTACCTAATAACTCGTTATTGCACAAAATATCGATCTAGAAAAAAAAAAAAAACAAAATAAAATAAAATTAATATGCAATAATAATATTATATATATTCCAATTTTTTAATATAAATTTTGTATATACTTACATCTCTATATTTTTCCATGCCATTCAAAACCTTCTTGGCAATAAACTTTTTTACATGTGTTATTGTAGCCTGAGCCGAACACCTGATAAATTTTCTTTTCAGTGTCTTCAGACTAGCGTTCATACATTCCAAACATACATTAACCTGAAAAATTTGACAGGTCATCACAATTTTTGATTGACAATTCTGTTTTAAATACATAGATCCGCTGAGACGTGTATAAATAACTAACTACCTGTTCGTCAGTGCGATGGTAATCTGATTCTGCATGTGCGTCCGCATTAGCTTTTTCTTCCTCCACTTCACCGGCATTAGGTAAAATATCCTTGGGACAAGGCAAACCTCTCGCTCTGTAAAATTCTCTTTCTCTTCTGATTTCATCTGAAATACACAATGGTTTGTTGGCGTATATGAAAAAAAAAAAAAACTTTTTTCCACATAAAGACAGAAATCCGGAATGTATATAAAATTTACACATACTTTCTTGGAGATCAGGAACTAATTTGTAAACAATATCCTGCATAGTTCTGTCAAAGCTGATATACTGAAGCGGATGTGATTGATGTATGACAATTTGGCATGTTGGACAGGTGTGTTTCTCTTCCAGATGTTTTACTAAACAACTTTTGCAGAACGTGTGCAAACATTCCGTAACAGTTGTAGCGTCTATTAAATATCCCCGACATATCTTGCATGTTATGTGACTGTTTAGTGTCTTCAGTTTTATCCTTCTCTCCATGGCACTGATAATAACCATTTAATAGAGGGTTGAAATTAAATCTGAAAATGACAGATATTGCAGTCATACATTAACAAAACGCAGAAACGTCGATAAACAATGAGTATTTTAAAATTTAAAGTCTGACACACTCCGCAAAGTTTTATCGAAAGAAACAAGACCAAATCGCGCGCGCCGCGTACGAAGAGATAAGAGATAAAGAAAAATGCAAAAAAACGAATCGGCATTAATATATATCGCCGTTTCGCGTTTAACCAAATGCGGAAAGAACCGTGTGGGACGCAACGGTAAGTATTTAACAGAAAGTAGGTTATCGGATTCTAACCTCGATCTCAAGCGTGGTAACACGACAGTCGTTATTTCCGCGATTTCACTCGGCGCTAAGTTCCGCGGAAATAATCCGCAAGCGTCGCAACATTGTTGTGTTGTCGGTCTTTAGTACTACTGTAAACGAAACAAAAACCTATACTAAAAATCCGATTTAAAAACAACTCAGTGTACAAACGTGTGAATCATACGACAACAAAACGGACTGAAACGGACTGATCGCAGCGCTGCTCGCGGCCTACAGCGGCGCGAAATATTTACCATCAATTTAATTTTAATTTATATGCGGTTTCGAATGGAAGAGCGCATGATGGAAAGAGAGAGGAGAGAGAGAGAGAGCGGAATGTGTGTGCATGTCGAGAGGTATGCAAATGTGATAAATTAAGCGGATCGAAATGCTCATTAATAAAACTTGCTCGAAATATAACTGTGCTAATTAAAAAACTGCGAGCTCAATATTTACATCACGTATTTACATTTAAAGAGCTCATTTTCTTTATATAGAATTTAATATACCGATATATTTGAAATAATAATTATTTCTTGAATATTAAAAATTACTGATAAACAACGTGCTAAAAGCGGTTTTAGGAGCGGATTATTGGCTCAATCGGTGGTTTGTTTTTGCGGAACTAATAGCTTTCTTTGCGACTGCAAAAAAATGCAAACAATATAAAACGATATTGTTTTTGATACAGATTGGATCGATTTATTAGAGGTTAAACTCGCACGTTGCGATACGAGATTGTTTTTTTTTTTTTTGTTTTTTTTTTTTTTTACAACATTTCTATACATCCATTTAATTCCTATCTTAAATGCGCTGTGTGAGATTTTATTATTCTAACTCTTAGATACGATGAGAGAAAACAAATAATCTATATGTACAAACTTTCGGATTAGAACACTAGTTTTCTTAGCTAAAACTATGGCTAGAGCACATATTAATTTTATCACTTTTTACAAAAATGTCGCCCGCCAACGACGTAAATTCTTAAAATTATTGTACGTAAAAAAAAAAAAAGTTACAGAATACACATCTTTAAGACACTTGATACATATCAGAAATAAATTATCTACCGCTAAAAACACCTTTCCCATTTATACATTTATCGTTCGCATCGGTGATATATATATATTTATATTTAAGGTTTTACAGTGATACTTTGGACTTTTGTTCTCCTCGAAACGACGCGTCCTTCTAGTCGTTTCGATGACGCTTAACCGCTCGTTGTTGCTCGTTTTCCTCTCACATTCGATCTCGCATGTGTATCTAAGTTGAATTGTTTCTTTATACAAAAACTACAGAAGACGCTAGTCCGCGATACAAAATCTACGGTCGTTGTCCGCTTTTTAAACTATATATAATCACGTAAAAACACTAGAGGTAAGTTCCACTTGCTGTTCGCAACGCTCGTGATAGTTATCCTATCTTTGTTTAACTTTCGATGAAAAACAAGGATTAAATGATTCCATGAGCGTTGCGAACGGAAAAAAGAGCGTTGCAAACTTACCCCTTAGATAATCTCTACCAGCTACTATAATACAGAAAACCGTACAAATTTTCATAGCTGACTAGTTACAAACACAATTATTATGCCCTTTTTTTTTTTACTTCGCGATAATTTCTTACGATAAGGACGAGTACTCACGACGCGACCTATGTATATCTACAACTCTCTCTTTCTCTCTCGATACCTCTACAAGGCACTCTGATTTAATGGCACGATTGTTACATCTATTGTATACTTACAGATCCAAAAGATATAGAAATCCGCTTTGCGTCTATAGACGTAAAAAAAAACAAAAAAAAAAAAACAAAAAAAAAGAAAAAAACAAAAAAAAACCAAGAACAGTCTCTTCTGAATTCCCGCACTCTCTGTTTCTCAACTTTTTTGTGTCTTAAGAACATGGTGCGCAATGTTAAACATCAATTCGCGTAGAAAAATAGTAAAAATATTCAATTGTGACACAGAAGAGATTTTTTTTTGCTGCTGTCGTTTAACGCGATTAAAAAAACGCACTTCCTCTTAATTCTACGTGTGTGGATACGCGATCTTCTTCTACACGAATCAATACTGTTTTATTTGGGCGCTCACGTCATTTTTCCACGGTGTGATATTTCGCGCTCACACTCTTCGTTTCGTTCAATCATTTATTGCATCCATTTCAGGATTCATTTGCTCCCGCCAGTTATTGAATGTGTAATTTTTTTTTTTTTTATTCGATTACACGTTTTCGCGAGTCGTTCGGATTATTTTGATCATCTCTTGTCTGTAAGCGATGTCTGTACGTGGTTCACAGCAGGTGTGGGAATTTCTCCTCGTCGTCCTCTTCCGCCTCGCTGGACTCCTGACTGGACGGCGGTGTGTCCAACTGGGGCAGGCCGAGATCCAGATATTCCTAATATTGTTGTTGAAAACACACGTGTATACAATCAAGATTATTTTAATCGTTAAACGTTAAAGCCGTTCGAGTATTTATTTTATCGATGTACAGAGATCGTGCGTGTCACTCACCTCGTTGGCTGTTATCGTTAACAGTTTATCGAGATGGTCCACCAGTTCCACAAACGTCGGTCGCTCGTGCGGATGATAAGACCAACAGTCTCTCATGAGACAATAGCTACAAGTATAACGAACCGAAGAATGTATCTCATAAATGAACTGTGTATACGCGTCAATGGCATTATAAAGTCAGATTGTACACGAGCATATCTTACATTTCGACCGAGCAGCAAGGCGGCTTTTCCATTCGATGCCCGGTTCTAAGTAGCTGGAATAATTTCTCGACCGACGGCACGGACGGGTAAGGCGTGCCACCCAGTGTCATGATCTCCCACAACAGAATCCCGTACGACCATCTAAAAGAAGCCAGACGTTTCGAAATAAAAAAAAAAAAAAGACGTTTAAAAAAAGATAATTCTTTTTATTCCATCTCTATTTTTTCTCTCTCTTTCGAAAAGTTTCTAATATTTTATTCATTAGTTATTTGAATTTAAATTTTTTATTGATATTTTTAAAAAAGGAAAATAAAGATAAGAACATAAATATCCATTTGTTAATTACCAACATTTTTTATCAAAAATTAAATTTCGGTTAAAAAAAAAATTATTCAAGTTCTGTACTCACACGTCGGACTGAGTGGTGTAAACCCGATGGAACAAGGCTTCGGGAGCCATCCATTTTACCGGCAATCGTCCGTCTGTTGTCTTCCTGTAGTAGTCGTGGGAGTGGATGTCCCTGGCAAGACCGAAGTCAGCGATCTTCAGCACGTACTCGTCGCTGACGAGTACGTTTCTAGCGGCCAGGTCCCTGTGTATGCATCGTCTGCTGGCCAAGTACTCCATCCCTCGCGCCACTTGATAGGCGAAAGAGACCAGATCTTTTTGCGTGAGGGTCTTTCGCTCCTTCATTTCTTGTCCGATAGTCGGCTCGTACCCGGAGGAGGGTCGGTGATCCCGCAGAAAATCACGCAGATTGCCGTGAGGAGCGAACTCCACTATAACGTACAAAGGACCGTTCTGAGTACAAGCACCTAGTAGATTGATGATGTTCACGTGCTTGCCGATCATCTTCATCATTTCCATCTCGGAGACGAGGTCCAGCATCTCGGTGTCCGTATGACCCTCTGCGAACAAAAAATTGTAGACGCGCGCATAAGATATATAGAATAACATTTAACGTTTGTTATTTTTATTTTTTTTTTCCGACTCGATTATACTAATTGTTCATCTGAATTTAATAAATGTAGATTTTTTTTTTTTATTTTCTTCTTCTCTTTTACCTTTCAGCATCTTAACCGCCACGACGCTGGGTATTCCAGGCTTGTTGGCGGTCGTCTCAGCCCTGATGACCTTTCCGAAGGCTCCCTCGCCCAGAGTGTTGCCCAGCGTGAAGTATTCCCTCGGCAATTCCCACGCGCTATCCAACGGCAACTCGTACTCGGACACGTAGTCGCAGTTGCTGTCCTCGGAGATCACCGTGGACTTCTGCTTCTCGATCTTCACCACCGGTCTCAGCAGCTCTTCCTCGATCGCGTTCTGCGCGTTCACCAACTTCTGCTTCTCCACAATCACCTTCTTCGACCATTGCGTTCTGATCGCCGCGCGCGCCGTCTCGACCGCGATCAGTTTCTTCATCTTTTCGCGCTTCAACCGACGGAATATGAAGAGCACCACAATGGCGCCCACGGCGAAGAAGACGCACAGAGTGGCCGCCAGCACATTTACCAGCACGTTCATCTGCGGTCTCGCGGTCAGTAGCACTCTCTGCTCCTCCAACGCTAAACAAATTTCGCAGAAAATTGTCGAAATTTATTCACGCGCTCGATTTGCTTAAATACGCAAATTCACGCGAACAAGTTCGACTCACTTTCAACAACACGAAGATATGCGCTGCTGAAGGTTTCCCCCAAAGTATTCTGAGCTATACACGTGTACCATCCTTCGTCCTTTTCCGTAACGTTGTAAAGCCTCAGTTCCTCGGGAGTATCCGTATCATTTCCAACCTAATGTCGAGAAAATTTAATTTAATTTATCAATCGCGCGTCCTCGGTGTATTGATTGATCGTCTGTCATGCGTCAGATGTTGCGATATATTTAGATGCATATTTAGATACACATATATGTATAAGCGTACATTTAAATGTACTTGTTGGATAAAGTAAGCACAAAGATCTGTTAGGAGGTGCGAAAGATAATTGAGTTTCAAAGCGGAGGTGTGAAGATCGACGAGAAAAGCGATTGAAAGAAAGAAGACTGTGAGAGATTCATGCAAGCTGCGCCCACCTTGACCACCTCTACCCTCAAGTTCTGACTGCTCTTGTTGACGGTGTCGAGAGAAGTGTGGTAACCGTGATACCATTCTAGGTGACGATGTGCGTCTGACAACACCTCGCAGATCATGGTGGCGTTGTTACCGATAAGCACGGTGGTGTTTCGTGGCGCCCTCGTCAAGATTGGTCGGTGCGGTACTGTTTCTACAGAGAACAAGAAACCCAACCACCATTGTAAGCAACACGTTTTGAAATGAAGTTAAATAAGACACGAGGAAACAACGAGAAGATTACACAAGAGAAAATTCAGCTGTGTGTGTCTCCGAGAGTGTTGCTTCTCTAAATCTACGTTCTATGTTCCTGAAAAGATGACAAAAGATATTTGTCGCGGAATCGAAATAAACAACATAATGATATATATACGCGCAGAGAGCACCGTAAGCAGAGACCCCAAGTTCCTTGAAGTCTGTTTACATAAATAAGAAACAAACAATAATAATAATACACAACACACACTTACACGTTATTTTTTGCTTAAGTTCTTCCGTGTACGTCACATCTAATCTTGTTTTCGGAAGCTTACGGTATCAGCGGGGTTTGTCAAACATTTATTACGTGAAACAGACTAGAATACTCTAGCGAGAAACAGAGAGACCCAAACCGCGTAAAAACGTTAAAAAAAAGCTCTTCTAAAAACAATGACGTGTCCTCTGCAAAGGTACACAACATTATTTTCGATTAAACTAATTAGTCCAGTCTTCCTCGCCCGTGAAGTCCGCACGTGAAAGTCGCCTGCAAAGAGAGAAGATACTCGACGTACGTCCTGCAACCACCGGTTAGCACACAAATCGAACGTGAATCGTCGAGAAGGAGGAAAAAAAACGTTAGTCAAGAGATGAAAAAGGATTCCGGGATTCCCTCCACCACCACCACCACCACGTGGATAAGTAGCGGCTGTGTACCTGGAGCAGAATCCCTATTGGCGTAATCTCCTGATCACCCGGATATTCGGTGACCTTGATCCACTGAATCCACGGCTCCAAATCGGAAATAATGGGACAGCGGAACGTCACGGTGCTGTTGACCAGAGCGGTCACGTTCTTCGGAAAATCCTCGTTGATGTACGGCTTGTGTGGGAAGCGTTCTGCGATTTTTTTTGTCAGAGACCACTTCTTATTCCGTGCGTTCGGAGAAAGCCGCGATTGATTCGCGCAACAATAACGCGCGCGCGCACGTCTCGCTTCGCGCGCGATAGAAATGATTGCGAGGAGAGCGTCTTACTTACCGACTATTTCGACTTTGAACGTGTGATTGATGCAGCCCAGATAATTGCACACGATGCACGTGTAGTTGCCGTTGTCCTTCGTGACGAGATCTTCCAACCTCAGCGTCCACTTGGTGCGAATCGCGGCGCCGAGATCTCGCTTCGGCTCCTCGTTGTTCTTCAACCACGTGATGTTCGGAGTCGGATTGCCCACGCTCGGACATCTCAATCGCAGCGTGCTGCCGGCGGGTTTCACTACTTTCCCGTACAATTCCTCGGTTCTGTTGAAGACCGGTGGGCTCTCCGCGATCGTGTTGCCGTGCTGTTGTTGCCTGCCGCCTTCGGTGTCGTTCTCAATCTTCTCGTCCGCCGCGTCGGCGTCGATTTTCTCGTCCATTCGCAACGATCGCGTCTCAGGTATATCTGCAAATCGCGCACGTTATCGTGATTCGCCACGATACGATACATCGGATTCGATACGTTGATTGAAATAAAACGTGTCCCGTCTAATAAATTGAAAAATTCGTGAGAAAGAAGACTTACTCCTGGTCTCGGTTTCGAGATCGTTGCTCTCGTCTTCCGGCCTGAGCGCGTCCATTACGCCGGCGCTCGTCTCCTCGCCCTCTTCGTTCTGAAAACCGTCGTTCTGCACCGTCTCCACGTGCACGGTCACGTTTCGCCATTCAATTGTCGCGTTCGAATTCAATTTGCAACCGTAGACGCCCGCGTCGTTCAGTTCGACGTACTTGAACTTCAGGGACTGTTTCATCATGCGCATCCTCGCGCTCGGCCGGCGCAGCGTCTCGTTGTCCTTGTACCACGTTATCGTCTCGACGTTGCTTGAGTTCTGCGGGCAGCGCAGGTTCAGCTTCTCGCCCACGTTCACCACAACGTCGGGATTGCTCTTGTCTGCTAACATAAACATCACACGGGCATCAGCATTATACATCACGCGCGAATGCAACATGACAGCAAATATATATGCATTCAATTGTGTGTCGAGTGCGTTGCGGCACGCAACGCAATGTTAATAACAAGGCAACGAACTTGAACTCTCTATCTCTCTCTATTTCTCTTCGCTTCCTCGAAGCAAAACTCGCAATTTGCGTCTGAAAATTGCAGCTTTCTCGCCGATCGCGAACGATGAAGGATCGATTATCCGTCGAGGATAATCTTCGCTGCTTTTATTCTCTCTCTCTCTCTCTCTCTCTCTTTTTACTTACTCGCGGAAGGAACGACACGTAATTCGCACCGCGAGATATTGTTCAAAATAAATAAAACAAAAAAAAAGCGATTTAAACTCATCGCACTCGATGCGTGTCTCGAACAATTTCAATTTAGTTGTCAGTATTCGCGGGACGTTCTCTAAATTAACAGCCGACGTTTGTCCGTCGCTTTATATCGATTCGCGCTGTCGACGCGACGATCTATAATAATCGCCCGCCGCCGCCGTCGCCGCTCGCGGAAGTCGGGAGAGGGATGTTTGCAATTAACGAGAGCAAAACGAGAGCGTTGGTTTGGCTCGGCTCGACAACGACGACGACGACGCGATCCGGACGGTCTGCGCGATATACGCGCGCCCGTCGTCGTCATTTGATCAAGGAAACTCATTTTCCTTGCGCGCGGCTCATTCATGAGACCGAGAGAAACCGGACCGAACCTCGGAGTATCGCCATTTGGACGTCAGCCAGAAGTGAATCGCGACACTGTCCCTTCCGACGTTCCATCTGGAGACTCTTTTTGCCCCTGCGCGCGTCCCCAGAATGCGTCGCGCACTAAATTTAGAGCTACTACCCCTCGCCGCTTCTCCCTCGCCCCCTCCTCCTCGTCTCTTCGTGAGGATCGGCCTATGATTACAAGCCGCTAATAGCGGCTACGAAACCGCATCTTCTTCGTAACCGCACCGTCAATCAGGAGTCAAACTCCGACGTTGTGTTGATTGCGCAAAGCGCAAAAATCCCGCCTCCTCTTAATTTTATATTATGATAACGATGTCGTTTTTTGAGTCGCTTCTCTCTTTCTCTCTCTCTCTCTGTCTCTCTGTCTACGTGTTTGGCAGATCGCGCTTCCTGAGTTACTCCAGACGCGAGTGTGTGGAAGAAAGAAGCTAAGAGACGAGAGACTTTAATTCGATTCAAGAATTACGCGCTTTCTTCTTCACGCGGAACCTTTAAACATCCTCCGCCCATTCGCACAAACGAGTCGTTGTGTCTCTCGCGAGAGCTCTCTCGAAACGGAAATCGATAGGAGTTTATTGTCGCTTGTCGTCGACGTGGGCTTTGCTCTTTTTCGGGATCGCGGCACAGATGCGAGGCACGTGGCATCGGCGACAGCTACGACCGCAACTGCGCTTCGAAATTCGGCACACGAATTTGAACTCTCGAGAAAGCGTATTTGAAATCTTCGCGCGGAATCTTCGTTGGAATTTCACAGACAAAAATTTTCATTTCCAAAGTAAAAAACTGAAAGTTTGCACAAAATAATTGTTTGCGAAAAATTGTCGCGTGAAAAACCAGAAATCTTGAATGACGACAATCGATCTCGTCGCGAATCGACGCGAAGCTAAAAACTCGTGTCTGATCTGGACTGGCTTCGATCGATACACGTAAACCAGGATCGATTTCTCTCGGGAACAGCGTTCCCGGCGAGCCATCTGCCTCGAACCAAACGCCAGGAATAGCCTTAAATGCTTCAAGAGTTTTGCTTCGCGCCACTTTTGCCTCCCTCCTCTCTCTCTCTCTCTCTCTCTGCCTCTCTGACAACCTCGTCTCTCTAGTTTTCAGTACAAAGTCTGGTATGCGAACGTTTTGTGCGGATTTACTCGCGCGAAGAATGTAGGTAAATTTCGCGCGAAAACATTTCGAAAACTCGACGGGAAATAATCCCCGACACACGCTCGCAATTCTTTCAACGAAATCCTCCTTGGCGATTCGCAAGAGAATCTCGTTAGCTGCTCCGTCGTCTCAAACAAAAAAAAAAAAAAAAGATGTTGAATCAACGTCATTTGAATTGAAATATATACCGCTGATGCGACATCAATATTGAACTACACTACACAGCAGACAGTTGCTTTGTAAAAATCCAGATATTAAAAACTAATCAATCTAGGTATTAAATTAATTAATTGCATACGCAATTGAATCAATTATTCGTTTTTGTGGCAGCTCGTGATGTCGACTTTAATTGAAACACTTCATTTTTTACTCGCAGAAATGAGCGATTTTTTTTAATTCGTCCATTGTTAAATAAAAAGTTTAGTTTGCGTAATTCCCGTGTAGAAGGAGCGTAACATCTGTGTTATGTTTTTCCCTCATCTAAATTAGATCCGAACAATTCAATTTTGATATCGACTTTTCGCTCGAATTTGTTTCGAGAGCCATTAGTCGTTAACGTCGCCGCCGCGCGACGACGGAAATCCCTGGTTTGTCAACGTCAACGAACGTTTATTTACTCGTGTCGCGCACGAAACGCGCGAACATTTTTATACCCTGTGACACCTCGTACTATAGTCTCCGAACTGACATATACAGAGTGCGCGCGTCTTTCGTCTCGTAGAAAACGATATATATTGTAGTTTTGTACAACAGGAAAAAAAAAAAAAAGAAAGATGCGTTATCGCGCGCACGCTCTCGTGTTCTTCAACGTCGTAGCGATCGCGTCGTATAATCCTATCCGGATAAAAAACCGCGTCTTTTAACGCCTGATTTTCTCAGATTCTCTCCTGAGATGCGGCGCGTCTCTCTCTCGCGCCGCGGCTATAGCACGTGCCGCTCGTAAATCGCTATCAAAGTTTCCGCGTAAACGGAGAGGCGCACCGCGCGCGGTAGCGGCGGCGCGACCGGTTCTTCGAGACCGGACAGCTTCATAAATAACCGTCGTTTTCACGCATGTGCGCGGCGCGGCCGACAGAAAGAAGGAGAGAGAGAAGAATAAAATCGCTCGAATACATAGTAAATAATAATTTTGTTGCAACGACCACGCATTGTACAATACGATAATACAAGCGTGAAAGCGGATCCGGAGAGTCGTCGAAGGCGCGACACACAAATGCGAGTTCGGGCGCCGCGGATAATCCGGCAATAAATCGGTCTGAGTCAAGCCGAGTCGATTTATCGTTACCGGTTGGCGCGATTAGTCCATTCGACTTGTTGCGCGCGCGACGCAATCTCGGTTTTCTCAATGTCGCGTTCGCGGTTGCCTCACCGCCGTCTTCATTTGCGCCGGAGACTCGAGAAAAGACAGAAGAAGATAATGCGAAAGTCGATCGTCTCGTCGTTTCACGAGAGACGAGACAAGAAGGTTGGCCCGGAAGGTTGGATGGATTACCGTCTCGGCGCTTTGGACGCCGCGCGAGTCCGTGCCAAAAATTATACCGCGACGCGATCTTCACCGCGATTTCGGCGAACGCGGCAAATTAACCGGCGCGCGACGTAAATCAGAAAATCGAAATAACAAAAGAGAAGCTGTTCCGTATCGAGAGCCTTTGGCTCGCGGCGTTTTTATCTCGATGACTCGCGCGATGAGAGCTCGCTCGGTGTGTTCTATTATCGTTCCATGATTCTGTCATGTCGCATAAGATTCATATAGCGGCGGCAGCACGCGCTTCGTTAAGATACTTCTCACTGATCGACAGCGTAACACGATGTTGTTTCCTACGAAACGAATCGTTTTACATCGGTCGTTCCATACGCGCGCGCGCGCGCGCTCGCCTTAAATGGAACCAGATCTCTCTCGGTTCGCCCGAAATAGCCATGTGAGAAGCAAAGACGTTGTGTCCGATCGCGGGGCGATACCACGCGCGGACAAGCGTCGTGATTTACGTTCCTTTAATCGCGCTCGTTGGCTTCGCCGCTTTCACGGAAGTGAGTTCGCAGTCGCGAACCGCGGCTGCTCACTTATACGATACCGTTAGTTGGCTTTTCGCAACGGAAAAAAAAAACAAAAAAAGATGAGAAAGATTGCGCCGAGCAATGCCGTTGAATTGCCGAACAATTACCGAACGAATCCTTCAGCTTCTTCGCGAGAGATAGAGAGAGAGAGAGAAAAGCAGTATAAACGTGAATATTTTATTGAGATTCTTCGGCGAATTCTTTTCGCCGGAGCGATAAACGAATCCGCGAAGAAAACAAACGCGTTCGCGAGATCAAACAACGTGGAAGATTCAGCAGAAGCATCCGAGTGCGCGCGCGCACGCGTGTCTGATTACGTGAGTCAGTTCCGTGATTAATCAGCGACGAGGAAAAAAAACGATTCTCGAATCGTTGACAGATACCGCTCGGTATCTTTCGCGGAGAGAAGCCGGTCGATCCACTTTGTGTGAACAAAACGAGCCCATTTTCTAGACTAGAGGAGCGCGATCGTCGAGACAAAGGAAAAAAAAAATCGACGGAGATCCGAAGTGCCCTGCGGTGTCGGATTACGATGTCGTCCCACGCGCACCGACTTTTAGCGTCTTCATCCGTGAACGAGAGAGAGAGAGAGAGAGAGAGAGATAGATAGAAGATCTCTCTTTCACGCTATGCGCGATCGTTTGTATAGCGGTGAGAGATCTAGGCGATGAAGATGATGATTCGACAAAAAGGAGAAGAAAAGACTCCAGAGAAGACTGGAGAAGACGCGACGGAAGAACCCTCTTGTGCGCGACAACGGCACGCTCTTTTCGCGCGGCAACGCTAAAGAGTGCCGATCGATTTTTCACTTTTTTCTCTTTTTCCCTCTTCACAACAACCTCTTCTTGTATCACCTGTATCCGGACAAAAAACAAGTGTGTGACGACGCCGACACACGCGTCTTCCTTCGCGGAAATCCGTCGATGCGCTCACGTCTGACAGACTTAAGCAGAGGAGAGAGAAAAAGAGAAAAGAGACGCGTTTTCGCAACAATTCCTTAACGATCGATGACTGTAAGAAGTTGGATTTTTATCATCGTCGATCAGTTAGAGACTTCAGGAGCGCCGATCTTATTATCTTGTTTTATCACCGGCACGTGTTTGATGGCTGTGCGGTGTGTGTTTCTTTTTTTTTTTAATTCCCGAGAAAATGAACGCGTGTGTCTCTTCGACCGTTTCTCTCGTCGAACGAGACACGCGTGTGCTGATAAATTACAGATCGTCGCTCGGATGAAAAGCGGTTCGGGAGGAAATCGAGCGTGTGTGAAGTCGCGCAGGATCAGGACGGTCGTCCTGTTACAAAATTTTAACGCATCGTCCGTTCGCGTTACGGCATTTAACAAAATACACTAAAGAGAGAGAGAAACAGAGAGAGAGAGATCCCGGCCGAAACAGGCTCGACGCGGCCTAATCAAGATCCTCTTTCGTCCTGGAAGGCTCTCTCTTCTGTCTTTTTAATAGGGCTGAAAAAAGAGAAGACGGGAGGATTCACGGGAGGATCGAGACGGAACGGATAGACACGTTTCGGAATCTTGACGGGTCGGTAGAAACGTTGAAACGAGATCGTCAGTCGCACACACACACACACACACACGCATACATCTCTACCTGCATAATTATATCTGAAAATGGATCATCTTATTTTCTCGAGAGAAAACACGTCGCTTCGAGAGAAGCGCGTTCGTTATCTCAACGAACGCGCTCCGAGCTCCGAGTTGTCGCCGCCAATAGTCGCCGCCGCCGCTGCGGCACGTGGCAATTAAACTTCCGCGTCTACTCGATTTCCGGATCTCGATACGAGCGATTAGCGAGACGCGCGAGAAGATTCCTCTCTCGCGATTTTGATGGTATCCGCGAGCGGATAAACCGGGCACCGGTCCAGGGGAAAAACGTCGGAGTGACGCTCGATCAACTGGCAAGATCGTTTCGTCTCTTGGCGAAATCTCACTTCGAACCGCGTGCGTGTCGAGAGATTTTCTCTCCCCACCGCCCTCTCCTCTCGTCCTCCCTCCCATAAATCGCAATCCGCTGCCATCTCTTTCATTGTCCAATTGGTAATATCAGCCGCTATTACGCTGTTGAATACATTTAATAGACAAAAGATTGGCAGTGGCTCTCATCGCTCTTTCTCTCTCTTATGAGACGAGACGCAAAAGTGTTTGTGTGTGTGTGTGTGCGCGCGCTCTGGATTTAGTCCGAGAAAATGGCGTTTCGTGTACACGCCACTCGTGTACACGTACTCGGGAGAGTATCGTTGGTAGGCGATTCGGTAATAGCGCGGCTCTCCGCGCAACCCGCCACGGCATTCAATGACCGGACAATTGGACAATTGAGCTCAATCATAATAACGCTCATACGCATATCGTGCCAGAGACCGTGTTTTCGTCGCCCTCTCCCTCCTCTCCCGATATTTTCAACGCGCGTCGGGTATTTATTCAAAAAAAAAAAAATACATTTAAACGCGCGATAGTCGCAATAAAAAAAAAGTTGACGGAAACATTTTTGAAACGTTGTTTACCGAATCGATATTTGGACCGAGTCGCGCGAGACGAAACGCGAGACATTCTGTGTAATGCTTACACGCCGCACGCACCGTCGGGATAAGGTTTACACGCACGTGGAGGGACCTCGTTCGTTGCCGAAATTCCAACGACAAAATCATTATTTTTCCGAGCACGCACCCAACTACGGAATATTGTGGAAGTCGTAGCCGTTGGGGCTTTCAAAGTATAGGTTTCGATACACAAAGCCGTGTCTGTTTGCCAGATGTGATGACGGTCGAAATTTTCAACCGCGCCTACTACATCCTTTGACCAGCGAGCATTGGAAAGAGAAAGAGAGGTCTTCGATTTTCAAGGAAATCGACGTTTTCCATTGTTTAGAACAATAAACGGATGCCCACGTGCCGACGTGTAAACAATCAAACGCCATGATATATTACGTAACAATTTTCGACGATTCGCGGGATAGAGAATTGCCGACGCGATCGCACCGGAAAACTTCGCCGCGCGAACTTTCTTGTAGACGCTTAGGAATCGATCGATGAACGATCTTGTTGTTGCGCGTGACCGGGATTATAGCGGAGAAATATAACAAACGACGATCGTTTGCGCGGCAGAGCCGCGAAGATAATTGCGCGTCCGCGTAGGATATAATTATCGTCGCGCTCGCGTTAATTAATTGCGTTTTCTCTGACGTAGAGGGCGATTTTCGCGCGCGGGCAATTTTCCAATTTCGTCAACCGAGCCAGTAATCACGCTGTCATGCCTTCCTCAAGCATCGGTGACTGCGACGAAGTGCCAGCCCCGTGTTACGATACTAATAGCCGCGGTGATACGCGCGCGCGAGCGCGCGTAATCTCTCCTCTCTTACGTTGTAAGTACTACGACGGGAACAGATTCTCAGGAACGCCGATAATTAAATCGCAGCCACACGAAGCCTGGAAACGACGTGACCAGAAATAAACCCGGTGGAGTATCGAGCGCGAGCGTGTGAAAGCCCCCGATAAAGTTGTTTCCTTCCCGAGATAGATTTCACGAAATTCCACCGCGTGAATTGCAAAATACTCGTTTCTTATTGGTGTCATTAACTCGAGGAATGTACGTGTCAACGACTTCGACTACTAAAAAATTAGTATCGTTTCGTAAACAAAAACTGGTATTTTAAAAATATCAGGAAGTTTCCTCAAAATCGTAAAATAAATATATTCAAATGCCATACGCTCTAACGCGAGTTCGATTTTATAACGAAGTTGCTGCGATCGAAAATAATGAGATCATCATTTCTCAACCGTGTAAGTATTTCGAATAAACCAAATATTTGAGAATAAGTAAATATATTCGAGAAATCGCTGACTAATCAGGTTTTTTTTACTGAAAAAAAAAAAAAAAATTGCAAGCATTTCTAGCACGCGCGTCGAAAAGCATGTGCCTTCCGCGATATTCTTTTTGCACTTGTACTTCCGCTTTTGCTCTCTCTGACGTCTAGCGGTAGCTTCCTCGCCGTTTCTTCCTCGCGCTATTTTTCACGTCGTCGCGCGATTCACGTGCTTAGCTCTACCGCGCATTATATTCCTTTTTCATTACAAAAATACCGCGTGAACGGTGCAGCGTGACGTTACAAACTTCCTTTACAAATCTTCGGCTCATCGCCGCGAGCCGTGCGCGCGTACCGAACGGGACCGTTTGTCGGCATTCATTCAACCAGAGAATTTTGCTCATCGCACGTTTCGCGTATGGAGAAACGACGAGAATTTATCGCGGAGAAAAAATATCCCGTGTAATAAAGCGATAAACCGAAAGCGATCCTTAAAAATACTGTTTATATATAAATTTTTCACCGCGCTTGTAAACAAGTTTTCGCACACATGCATGTAATTTCCTTCGCAAATATTCTCGGAAAACGTCAACACAAGGATGTTTCTTTGAAGTTCCCGGAATATAACTCGGACCAAACTTGCGGGTCATTAATTATAACTGCATGTTCCGCGAATGGATCTCTGAATCATTTTGTCTTGCTAATATATTTTCCAATTTAATTGATCTTTCCACATTGGCTTCGATAAAATACACGTGCTCTTTTAAAAATATATTCAAAACATCATTTTTAAGATTAGATTAAAGTTGTAGTATCTAAAAAAATATATACACTCGCAAAGTAGAAAATGATTTAGAGATTTATTGAAAAAAAAAAAAAAAAAAAATAGATATTCACACTCACCTAACCGTACAGTTCGTCCTCGCGCGTGTCCTCTCGTAAGTCCGATTTGCAGGATAGCGAGAATCATCCCAAGGATGAGGCAGATCCTCGTCGTCGTCGCCATTTCGATTCGTTCGACACCAAGCATGTGTGCGGTTTAATGTAATCGCGGCATGAGTGGATTTCCTGAAACAGAGAAACCGCCGCGAGGATATTTATTTGTCTTCTCACTTGCGTGCAGGCCAAAGATTAAAGAGACACGCGGGAACGCAAAAAATAACACGCAAGTTTCCGCGATTCTTCGGAAATCGACGAAGCGGAAGCTGCGTCAGTTTCTCCCGAACAATCGGTTGTGCGGAGAAACGTCGCGTAGTCAGTGGACAGTCAAAACAACCGACACTTACGTGAGAGATATCGCTAACAGATGAGCAAAATACTCATTTCCCACGTTTTCTTCTGTCCGACCTCGTCGTGTTTTTTTTCCTTTCTTTCTTTTTTTTTTTTTTTCTATTTTGTGAGGAGAGCGTCTCTCGTGACTCTGGCCGACGGCCAAACGCCTCCCTTCCCTCTCTCTCACGATGCATTCGACCGAGGACACATCAACCAACGATTTTAGACACGACTACGTTGAAATACGGCCCTGAGAACGCGCGAGCACGAGCCAACGTTCGGGCTTTACGCACGTGCTTCCCGTCCAAGATCGACGGGTTCGCCAGCTTTTAATGCAATTCGAAATCATCATCGTCGTAAATTCGCGACGAGCAGTGCCGTATCAATCGCTCTCTCACCATGTGTTACAATGATTAATATATAAATTCGACGTGTTATAAAAACATTAATAATAAAAAGAAACTAAAATAACTATAAAGAAAATTACAAACACACACGCGTACGCACATCTGCAAAAATAACTTTCCCCTGTTAATGTTTCTTAGTAAATCTTTCTTAGAGAAACAGATGCATTTGTTTTTCCTCAGTGTCGTTAACGGCGCCGAAAAATGTAGCAAGAACGAGAAGATTGTTTTCTTTCAACCGTACTAACGACCGCGTTAATATCGTTTCCGGCTACCTGCCCGCAGAAGTAGGCGTATCTGTGTGAAATATACGTGCGTGACATCTGAGGGGAAAAAAAAAAAAAGAGAGAAACAACGAATCCGACAAGTGACGATTAATAACCATCACCTTCGGGGCGAGGATAAAAGGATCTCACGGATTCGTGATGTCTACGAGATATTTCCTCAATATCACTTGTTGCGTCGTTTCGGGGAAGATCTCGAAACCGAGATCTTTTTCGACGCGAGCCAAGAAAAAGATTCTCGTAACCCCAGAGAAAATAATATTTCGGGGTACGCGCGCAAAACCTCGCGAGGAAAACAATTCTCTCAAGGACGAACCATTGCATGGAGAAATTGGATACAAGCAAGTCTGCAACCGTCCGAAGACGGGAAAAATGTGTCGACCAGATTATGTCACACTCGGAAGAGTTCACAATATTTAGATAACCAGGGAAAAATGTGGAGCGCCGAAATATTTTTCTAACGCGAAAAGATATTTCTTACGTTACAACTTTTTGGTTTATTTATCTACAAGGAACGTGTAAAAATAAAAAAACAAAAAAATAAAAAAAACAAAAACCAGGATGCGCCACGTCTTTCGCGAAAGAAAAGTGCCGTTTGTTATTTCAAGTCATTCGCGCGCGTGTGTGTGTGTATGTATGTATGTATGTTTCGCTCCTGGTGTTCGAGAATAAGTCAGAACGATCGGAAATATTAGAGGGACGATTTCGATATTACGATGCGATACGAGGCGCGCGAATAATTCGCGGATTTTATCACGCGCGGATCGCAGCCTGTTGTCGTAAAGCAGTCTAAAGGGTGAATTATTCTATAAATAATCATTCGTGCGGAACGCAATTAAGAGAATCCCTTCCCTTGTAATGCGTACATATGTATGTATACACATATACATATAAATAATAATCAAATCGCGTGCGGATTTATACACGTCTGGCTCTCTAGATTATTTAGCGGCTGATAAACGCGCGAGGCATTATGTGTCGTTCTATTCTCGCTATTAGTTATTTTACGACCGCTGTTTACAACCGAGAATCTCGGCTGTGTATTTCGATCGCGACGAGTGTTCGAGGCATTCGCTTCGATAATTACGTATTCACCTCTCTCTCTCTGTATAATTATATTATTATTTATATTATTTAATATATTTTACAATAATTAAATATAATTGTTTAATATATTATATAATAATTAATTTCTTTTCTCAACCAAGAATTGTTTTGTATCATATACTTTGCATTTGTGTAGATGTTTTTTAACACGTTTTATTCTTTTGTCATCACCTTGTAATTTTATTATTATTAATTATTATTATTATTATCTAAAATGCATATTGTAAATGATACAAATAAAATTTGCTCAGCGAGATGCAAACTCGCTCTCAACATCGATTAATAATAACGGTGCTTATCTAGTTAAATTATATTCATTAAATGCTTTCTAGACACCGCTACCGGTATTTTAAAGTGACGGAGGTTATCTTTTCGAAGATAAGCATACGCAATTGTATTTTTTTAAGTAAAGAGAGTTAAATACCATCAATATATTATAAACGTCTGACACATGAGAGCAATAACCAGATTGATTTTTTTTTCTATTATGATTTTTACTATTACGTGACGTTTATGTATCTTTATTCGCGCGGCAAAGACCTGTTGCGAGTTGTGCAACTTCCGTATTTCCTTTCTTTGTGAAAAATCATACAAATATTATATCATCTTACCTTGGAACGAGGAAAGATAGCGCGAAAAAGTTCTCAAACGACTAGTTTCAAAAGCAAAGAGTCTTCTCGTAAAGCTACGTTAACAAGCGCTATAAACATTTACTTTCCTCAACGCGCCAAATTGGATCGAGCATCAGTGCGATCGTGAAATTCTCGGTTCGAGAACGTGTACTTTGTATAAATCTCCGGCGGAAAATGGCGATTCTCGCGAGATTGGCGCTTTACGACAATTTTAAGCGAGAGACATCGCGCCGCACTATCGAGATTTATGTCGATTTCGCATAAAAGGAAACATTTTAAGCACCGCTTCCCTTCTAGAGTTGCCGTCATGTCAACGAACCGTTCTCCGGAAATTACACTCTCTCGTAAAGCTTAGAAACATATCAATTTCCCGCGTTAAGTAGTATCAATTGCGGTCGTAATTTTCGATGAAATACGATGTACTTTCTCTCTAAACAATCATAAAATACATTTTTCTACATAAATTATAGAAATATATATATCTGTACGCATTCAAATGCACGACGACGTAAACTCGCGGAAAGTAATAAGCCTATTTTTATGTGGCGGCGCGCGCGTCGTTTTTCGTAATAGAGACGAGAACGTTTTACACATTCTTAAATTTTTCCGCTCGACAACAAAAGTGCGACAACAAAACCAGAGGCAGATTCCCCCGGATCTTTACACTCTCGCAAGAACGTTTAAAAATCCGTGTAAGTTCGCGCGCGAACCACAAACGGTGTTCGTAAGGTAGCATCGCACGCAACAGTTTTCGTTTTTTTTTTTTTTTTTCAATCACGTAGCTCGTGCAGATTGTAAATCAACTTGGAGAACGGCATGAATAGAATATATCTTACAGGTACGTTATATCGGCTTACGTGCTCTCGTTCTCGTTCCGCCACGATACCCCATGAAATGTTTAATGGGCTCCGGACTTCGAGAATTCGACCGTAGAATACGCGCGCGTCTGGTTCACATCGAAATTCTAAACGAAAACTATGCGAGCTCACGTTTTCTCGCCTCGTATCTTAATCGATAGAATTGTTCCGTTGTACAATTTGTACAACGCGCGAAGTATGCGCGCGCTTATGCTTTCTCGCTCACTTAATTTAAAAGCACACCTCAGGCTTTTGAAATCTCCCAAGACGATTCCATTACAAACAGGCGTGTGAAGTTGGCGTCAAAACGAATTTCCCAGGCTTGTCAAATCCTTCCCCTTCTCCTCTTCTTTGCATTGAAATTTTTTGGGGTGTTCTTAAAAAGAAACACTGTGTATCAGTTATTTTTAATCGGTAAATACCATAAAATGTATATTTTTTATATTTTAATATCCTCTCTCCTCTCGTATTAAAAGACACGAAATAACATTGACTTAATAATCGAGCATTATTTAAGACGTGGGACTTGTTTTTATATAAATGTATCTTTTTGTGCGTCTTCAATTAATTATCATTTGTCGCGAAAAGTAGCGATAAAGATGCGCGTGCGAGACGTAAAAACGCTGGTATTAAAATTTTAAGAGAAAAAAAGAAAGAAAGAAAAAAAAAAGGGAGAGAAAGTTAATACCGGTTTCGAGTTTTAAATTATATCTTCGCCGCCCGTCGACACCATATGAGAGAAGTCCCGGACCTACGTCACGATAATTATGGGTGGCCGAATTCGTCGGACCGGGGCGCACACCGCGTGATGAAACAGGTTGGAACGATCTTATTCAATTTGTCGAGGGTCGAGGAACACTCCTTCCCGTAGAGGGATCTCTCGTGGATCTTGCCGAGTAGATGCTCGATGATAATCTCCGAAGGACAAAGACACAAAGAGGTACCGTCGCGGTGCTTAACACTCGCGCATAAATCAGGGCGCGTTTCCTTGACTTCTCTCCCCGAGAGGTGCTCGAAAACAGAGAGAAAGATTGGACGCTTTTAAGTCGTTTCCAATTCAACTTTTTATCTTCAAACGCGGTTTTTAATATTACTTTACGCGCGAAACTGACAAAGTTTAATTTACGACGAGACTTCGAAAGTGAGGAGGAGGAGGGGCAAAGTCGTAAATAAATTCGGCAAGCAAACCCTACGGGAAAGACGAGGGGTGTGGAAAATTTATGTACGACCGCAGGTGATAGGAACACAATTTCGTCGGTTCGAAATGGCGCCTAATCGAAAACATTTCGATACCTTCGCCGTTAAAAAAAAAGCTCGTTCGTCCCCATCGAACGGCGGCGGCGCGGATCAAAGAGAAAGGGAAGAGACGAACGGACGCACAAAAAAAAGCGCTTTAAGAAAAAAGACCGAGAGAGAGAGAGAGAGAGACGCATAAGAAGATGTTCACTTTTCTGAAAGATCTCGCTTTTTAAAAGTAAACTACGTTTTGTTGTTTCAATTCGCAAACGCGAGAATGAGTCATAAAACCGGAAGTGCGTGCTTTTAAATGTCGCAATGGGAATTACGCGCGTATAAGAACGTGTCACGCGTAACATTTGCATTTGTTGCGTTAGAAAATTATGAGACACCTGATTTGCGTAATTGCGTGTATCTTTTTTACAATCGCAAATATAAAAAAAAAAAACATTGCAACATTTCAAAACCGTATCCGTTCTTTCTACGTTTACCTTTGTGTTTGTTTTCATTCGTCATCTCGAACCGAAAACAGTTAATTTGAATCGGTTTTAAAGCGTGAGTGAAGTTAAGATATTATCCGTAAAGTCGACCTCCGAAAAGTAAGTAAGCCGCTTAGCGGACATATCCGTTTTAACCCCTTCGTGGGGTCGCGAGGCGGGGCGAGTTTAATAACGTCCGCGACGGAACCGAACGACGCACACGTGGGTGGCCTTCGTCGCGACGTGCACATTCTCCGATTTCGCGTACACGCAACACGCCAAACATCGCAGCAATTTGCACATACGACCGTTATTGCCGATAAAAAACAACACATTTCGAGATCTTATCGACCCTTCCCGAGAATCACGAACGCGTAAACACGAACGGAATTTCTCTTGTTTTTGCGCAGATATTTATTTGCTTGTTAAAAGTGAACGAAAAACAATAAATGTATTTCCGTGTGTGCGTTCAAGAGCGACCGGATTTCGATTTTTACTCACCTCATCAGTGTTGAAAAAACTTTACGATGAAGGTCGATCGATTGACGTAGTCAATCAAAGGGATCTCCGACCGTGACCTACGTCAATGGTTCTTAACGCGAACTGTACATATTTTCCCGCGAAACGGGCTTCGCGCGCCCTTCGGGAATTGCCGAAGTAAATTGACGGAAGTGGTCGAGCGCGGGCGATCTTACGCGATCCGCTTCGCGTAGCGCGCCAGTTCTTGCTTGTAATCGTTGTGTATCGCGGTGCGTTTTTTACGTAACCAAAACAAAATTTGCATAAACGCGGATCCGTCGCGGATTTAGTGACGATGTTTAGCGGAAAACAAACAATCATCGCGAAGGTCTCCGTGCGCATCTCCGGGACGTGGACGAGCGCCAGCCGTGGACGGGATAATCGTCTCTCGCTTCGATGCTGAATTCGCAAAGTAAGCCATTTTGTAATGTTTGTCCTCTGTCGCGAAGGACGAAGCTCGTTCGCGCGTATTGCTTACATCATCGTGGCAAAACAAGTAGAAAAGTAAAATTTTGTTCGCCGGGTTTGATGTTTTGTTTATTATTGATCGTCGATTTGTTTATTATTGACGGGGAATCGGAAGCATTGATTATCGAGTGTTGATAAGCGGTCGAACGCGAATCAATATGGCTGATGCAGCGAGCGTGTCAACACGACCGATATCGATCAAGAACGTGGCGCAGCACCTGTTGCTGTTGTTTCGGAAGTACGCCGCCGTGATTTTTATTTCAATTGCGAACGTCTTTTGTCTTTCATAAGAAACCATGTACTATTTAACTTCACACCGTATGTGTTATTTATATATTATTTACTTTATGTTATTTATTTATATGATATATATATTAAGACTGTTGTAAACGTGTTATTAGAATCGTACTTCCGCGATGAGTTGGCAAAGTTCTATTGTTCTCTCACTCGTCGCGTCGATTAATCGATTGTGTCTCGTTGTGTTTCTCCTTGTCGCTAAATCGTTCGCAGTTTCTTTAAGCCCGTTCTACATTGATCATCGCAAACGCAAGGTATAGATCTCGTAGAATTGACCAATCACGATGTGGTCAATTAACTGATTTGATCAATACGATTAGTCAATTCTGACGAGACCTGTTGCTTGCGTTTGCGCTTGCGATCAATGTAGAACGGGCTTTATACGTATGTAAACCACTTGCATTTGAAAATACGAGCCAGATGAAAAACAGTCAGATCAGAAAATTGCGAACTTGCAAAATGCGAACAAACAATATTTTCAATTTAACGAATTTCTCACGCACAATAGTCTCAAGGACGATTCTTTCTCGAACAAATCGATAAGAAAATTTCAAGCTTGCGTGTGTATTTGCCAGACACACGGTATATATTTAGCCGGGCGCGTGTTTACATAATCTTATTTCTGTAACAAAAACACACATTTACGCCGTAGCGCACAGGGCGTCCCAAGAGAGACGCCGATCATAGCCTCGATCTAAAACCTTGATTCCCGTCCAACGGTCGGTCGATCGATCGATCGATCGATCGCAGAGCGGTGTTCCTTTTTCGAGAGGTGACCGTCGCGAGGGATTCTCGACCGTGTTTGGTTTTACCGGTGCTAACCATTTTAAACTCGTCACTTGCGATCGTCGTGCAGCGATACTCCCGTGATGTGCATAGAGATACGCTTCGCGAGAACGTGCGAAGCTTCGACGAGCAGTAAAACACAGGAGAGAAGAGAGAGAGAGCGAAAGAAAAAGAGAGAGAGAGGAGGAGAATTGCTCGCGCAAGAGCGTTCTTAGAATATTTATATATCTCACGGTAATATTATTTTGTTTACCGGGCGCGCGTTTGAAAACCATTGAAACGTTGTTGTTTTTGTATAATATCATCAATCGTCGATGTTTACCTTATCTATTTTTTTTTCGAAACGCGCTAGTTTCGTCAGCGCGAAATAGACCAATGAGAGAAAGAGAGAGAGAGAGACGAGAAAAAAAAACTTTTGTGGAATATTTACGATTCGCGTGCGAGAGTTTTGTTTTTTTTTTTTTTTTTTCATCTCGGTTCCTATCTCGGCGCGAGGACGCACGTTTGATGAGATGAGAGGCGCGAAGAGAGTAAGAAAGTCTCGAAGAGGAGATACTCTACGGCCGCGTCGCCGTAGCGTGAATAATAAAAGGCGCGCAGATATACGTGCGATGTTTTCGGAAGAGAAACGAGGTATTGGTGGAATAAGGAAGCGCGTACGCGGCACGGTGTTGGAATATTTATTTATTAGAATCGAGGCGGTGAATTTATAATATCATCGTGTTTTATTAAGTATGAGGTATTGTTTCTCTCGTTCTTCGTGAGCTTTAATATGAAAAATCTTCTTTTGACTTCCTTTATTTCATCTTACATCTACCTTCTGATAAGTGTTTATTATCGCATTTCTATATGATGATGACTAAAAAGTTACGGATGTTTACACACACGCGCGCGCACACGAGATAAATGTAAGCTGCGATGTTATCACAGATATTATCACGTGAACAAAGAAATGATAAGACGATAAAGAGCAAGATGCGATACAAATTTTCCGGAAGAAATGAACATGTGGAAATTGAGAGTTCCTAGAAAATTGATCTCTGTTGAAAAACGTTGAACGCGAAGTACAAAATGTTTGGCTAGCTGAACTGCCCGGAATGAACAATCGTTTGTTCAGTTTTAACTTGTATTTGTTCATTTGAAATTTGAGCAAACGCATCTCTCGCGCGCACCGCGCGGAGCAAATATTTGACCAGTCGAGAGAAGAACCGAAGAACGTCGTCTCTTCAAATGAAAAAAAAAAAGAAGAAGAGTCCGTTGAGAGTCACTGCGCGCGTCTCAGGGGGACGATCTTTAAACCGCGGAAACCGACTCTTCTTCTTTTTTTTTTTTGTTTCGCAATTGTCGCCACCGTGACACCGGGTCGGGTTCAAAAATTCATTTTCGAGACGCGCCGCAACCGCCGCCACACGGATTTCATCTCGGGAAAGTATTCTCGCGACCGTCTCCCTCCGAGTACACGAAACACATCTGCTGGTCGTCGAGCGAGCAGAGCTTAGGCACACTTTTTTAATCGCGGATGCTTCGGACGGAACAGAACGGCGCCTTATGCTTGTGAGTACTCGAAAAAAGATGTATAAATCACGCCGTT